GGCTCAAAACGCGCTCAGAGCGCAAAAGAATGTAAGCGCCATGCCCACTGGGAAGGGGGAGAGGATTAAGCACCTCTCAGCCACCAACCAGAGCGGTAGTGGTCGCTGTGCCTTCATGTCCTACACTGGAGTGAGCCATGCTGTCACAGTTTTCTCGTGCCACGTGACCTGAGGGTCATGTGTACTGGGACAGACGCTCACCTTGACCGCGGACAACTCGTATCGGAAAGTGGAGGGGCCAGGATCGAACCCCAGACCTCGTGACGGCCAGGAGCGCCCATCCTCACTCACAGGCAGGTGACTGATGTGACAGCAGGAGCGCTTACTCATTGGGAGGGGTCCGGACTCGGCACGACTCAGATATTAGTCGTAAGGTCACCATGAGGCAGGTCAGAGGGTAGGACATGAGGCAGAGAACTCTGACTAAACGATGGTCAATAGGTACCTGGTCTGTGCACCATTGTATTAGTATATATAGTAGGGAGTCTGAGGCAGGGAACCTCAGACTTGATCTTCTCGTCGATCCCCCATCTCCTCTGTAGGTAGCTAGCAGCCCTACCTTCTACTGCCCCTTCTAGTCTAGGGAATTCACATCTTTGCATCATATCTTGCTGTGTCACTTGTGGTTGCTTCGCTCTCAGCACCAACCCCTTCACCAGTAAGCTTTGTCTTTGTTTATCTGGTGGCACAGCTCGTTGGCTGTGACACATGCTCATCTCGGCCAAGCGAAACAATTCACAATGCATATAATACTTCTTACACATCTGTACTACGGTACATCCTGCCTGTGAGGGGAACAAACCATTGGAAGTCCCATAATACCACCAAGATCCTCGAGAGCGCCTCATCGGAGTCGAACATCGAGGTCGGGTAGATGAGAGCGGAAGACTATCTCTGAGCGCTATCGTTATATAAGCAGAACATCGGCTAGCGGGCGCTGCCTATCCCCAGCGGCAGGATGGAGAGCAGCACGTTGGCGCCCGCCCGCCTACACGATTCGCCTCCACCAAATCAGCGGCCGTGGGAAGCATGTCTGGAGTGCTATTGCTCGATCGGCACGTCCGAAGCAATATGTGTGGTAGCCCATCAGTTGAGTCGACCAGTCTAGTGCCAATCCGTAGAGCAGGTAATCGGCTGTATATCATCACCGTCTTTCGAGCATACGACCAGAGCTCCTGATCGATTCAATCCCAGACGAAAGAAAGTTGATCTGATATAACACTTATGACAGTGTTTATGGTAGGCTAGTACTCCGGGGAATACAATGCGAAGACAGCTCACCACGATAAAGATATTGAGAATGAGTAATGGGTACAAGAAGTATGATAGTACACAGCAGAGTCGTATCGACGCCGAGTCCGTATCTAGGAAAGAAGCTTCAAGGACGAGAATATACCGCATGTGGTGATGCAGCAGCGAGAACATATCACTAGTCAGAGCATAGCATAATGCAGGATGGAAACGCGTGATCGGTCTATAGCGAGGGGTGCACAGTGATCGGGGCGCCGAGAGTGGTGAGGTGCAACCACGGAATTGTGTATGCACCGACCCTGTATGGGGTGAACGTCAGCCTCTACTCGATATGCGATGAAGCGAAGAACAGAGTGACTGACCTGACAGTGGCAGCCGTGAATACATCCACCTTCCCCGAATTGACGATTTTGAGGGACCCGAGAGCACCTTGGGTGAGGAGCACGTTGTTGATCGGCCCACTGTTCACAGTGGCATGCGGGGGAATGACAAAGTCGTCGAACGCATGCTCGAAGTGTACGTAAGTCACGCCGTCCAAGCCCGAGTCTGCTTGCGCAAACGAGACTTGGATCTCGGTGTCCAGAGGGTTCGCGATCTACATATATGAGCGGCCAGCGGCAGCACGTATCATTATACGTTCAAGTACCACAGCGGAGGACTCACGTCGAAGTCGATCGAGACGGTATTAGAGAATAAGGTGGCTGCAGATATGTACGCGTTGATGGTTGTCACGAAGGGAGGGAAATTCAGGCCTGGAACGTAATTGACGTCAGCTGGGTCTATCCTCAGCTTCCAGAGCGAGAAAGGACCCACCTTTCAAGTCTGTGGTGATCTCTACACCCTCGAGAGCAGGTATCAACGAAGCGAATGGAGAGCTGCTCGCGTCGCCCTTGATAGTGAGTGGCAGCTCGTTGCTCGTCTGCAGAAAGCTCGTAATGAACGACTGTGCGGTGGTATCATTCGCGTCCTGCGGCACGTAGTGGAACTCCGCAGATACCGTATTGTCGCCAGGCTGCAAGTTGAGCGAATCGATTACTGCGCGGCCAAGCATGACGTCCTGGTAGAAGACCGGGAGCTCAACGCCGACCGTCTGGAGGGAGATGTTGGATGGGTTGCTAAGAGCAGTGGTCAACGGAGCCTTGATGAATGGCCCAGTGTTATCTTGTCCGCTTCCAGTAATGGACAAGTTATTCAAGACTGTGCCGTGACCAAACGAATCAATGCCTTTGATGGACGTGATGACGTCTATCGGGATGCCGGAAATGGGAACATCACCGACGGCGGTACGGGCAACAACGTCTGTGGAACCCTTGAGCTGGAGATCCACATTCGACGTAGTGGTGACTGTCGCCATGAACTGGGAGAACGCAACATCATCCAAGGCTCGCATAGTCTGCTTGTCAAACGAGAGGAGTAGTGGCACAACGTTGCCAGTTGAGACGGATCCATTAGCCGTTGTTTGCGGCAGAAGGAGCTGAAATTGCGCGTTAACCGTACCTTAGTAGAGCAAGTGTATATTGACACTTACCTCCGCAACGCCGATCCCTCCGCTGACAAGTGTGATATTCTCGTTACTCTGCATCACCTGCAGGGAGAACCCGAAAGGATTTTTGTACTGGGCGACGACGTTTTGGGCGCTCGCAATGGGCGCAAACGCTTGATTCTCCTCCGTCATGACAAGCTCGATGTCAGACATATCGATGGCTTGGATGACCTGGTGAATTCTTCTTAGATGCCTTCGATCCATCGCATGATAGTGGAATCGCACCTCAAGGTTCTGTCCAGGCAAGGTGATATTGAGCGCTAACGACTGGAATGCAGAACTCAGCCATGCCACAGAAGCATTGGCGCCAGCTGGTTGCACGGAGCTACCCCGGATCGAAATCGTCTGGTTTTGAGACTGTAGGAAATTGGTGAACAATTCGCCCATGACAGCCAAATCAGCGCCGGACTTGGGGGTGATTCGACCAGTCAGGTGTGCGTTCGTCGTGCTGTGAGCAGTAAGCAGCAGATCGGTGCTCGACAATGCTGAGCAAGGAGGGTCAACAGAATTCATTTACAGAATCAATAGTGGGCCTTACGTCCAAGCGTGATGCCCTTGAAGGATGCTTCGAACGCTACGGTGCCAAGATCGATGCCTAAGTCTGCTGACGACGGGATTAGGGAGTCCGTCTCGATGTGGATTCCGCCAGCTGGATCGTCCGATGGTAGCTTGAAGTCACTGATCGTAACACCTGGTAAGTTGTTGAAAGCCTTGAACGAGATATTCTTGCTTAGAGATACTCCATCGAAGGTCGTCCCAAGAGCGATCGCACGGAGAGCTCCTGTCGAAATCGTCCACTCGAATTCAGGATTGTGCAGTAAGAACGTCGCAAATTGTGTGAAACCGCTCGTATCAGTAATCGTGAGATGCGCAGTGGTTTCGTAGTCCGGGACGCCAATGTTGGCAGCCATGCATACTGGCGGAAGCGAGATGGTCGCGATGGTCTGACCCTGCCAACTGATGCTGACAGGTTCGACGAATACTATCTGAGCGTCGAATGGACCTGCACCTGTGAGCGCTCCCTTCAAAGAAAGGTCGAAGCCCTCATCTGAAACGTTCCTGCGGGACCGTTGAGCTACAGATGCCTGTCAAGGCATTGGGATCGGCTTACGTTATGTTTGCCTGGCTGAAACTGAGAGTAGCTTGATCAACGAATGTTTGGACAATCGGTGGCGCGACTACGCCTACGAGATAGAGGGCCGTATCGTCTGTCTAGAAACTTGTCGGACTCTCGGGCGTGTGACTTCAGTCGGGGATCACATACCACTGCTCGAACGCCCTTCTGCACGAAGGAAAGGTCGGTTGGATCTAGGGAAACTGTCAACGTGGGCTCTGCCAAATGTAAGAGAATACGCACAATCATCGATCTTGACGGAACTGTTCACATTGAGTGTTACGTCTAGGTTCTTGAGGGAGTTCAAGATCGCGCCATTAACATCGAACTGATGCCCGCTAGGGGAAAATAGTATCGGTAAGATCAGAGACCCACAATCACCATGTCCTCTCACCACTCACCTGATACATGGTGCAGTAGCATTGCCCACTGTCGCGTTGATCTTCGGCAAGCTTCAATCGTGACGGATACATGCGGGGACTGAATGTACGTACAGAGCTATGTGAGGCTGGGTTCTGGAGAGCAGCGCGGAACAACGCCGGCAATGGGCCAAGATCAACGTCGTTGTTCTGAGCGGCAGCAAGTAGGAACTCCATGATGGAGCTGGGATCCATGTTCATGCTAAATGGAAGCGCAGGCGACGTGACATCGGCATGACCATCAGCGTGAATTGGGTCATTCGACCAATTGAGGTTGTCGATCTTGCCAAGAGTCAGGTTTCCGTAGGTTGCCGTCGCGCTGATTTCAAGGAGGTTGATACTCGCAGTAAAGGGGTTAGCGAGGACGAAGGATGCCTGGGCGATACTACTCTGCGCGATATTTGGCGGGAAAACGAGTGAGGTAGAGGAAATGAGGGTCTTTCCTAAGCCAGGTATATTGACAGGTGAGAGTGATATTTTGGACATCGCGAGTTGCAAAGACTGAATCAAAGTTGAATCCGTCGACCCCTGTATTGTCGTTGACGAGGTAGTCCCTTGCAAGAAGTTCTCGAGCAGATGCTGTCCGGAAGTAACAGCCTCCCCATGAGGTTGATAGTGTACGTCTTCTTACATCATGAGAACTGCAGAACATTCTCACATGCGCGGTACTCACCGATGGCGTAAGATTGATTTCCAGGGAGGATGGTCAAGTCATTCTGCAGAAAGTCAGCCACCGGCGTCAGCTCAACGACGCTTCAACGCACGAGGTCAGCCTGGCCAATAATCTGATTCCTGGGTATCATTAGCAAAGAAAATGCTGATCGAAAGGCACTACGTACTGGTAGGTCAGATCGAACGAGATGTCCCCAGCACCGAGGGTAATGTTACTGGGGTTGAACAACGATGAGTTGACTTTGATCAGCAGATAGTCTGAGAACCCATGATCAACGTCCAAAGCCGTCACCAGCGTTGGCTTCGAGGTAAGACCCTGCATCCCAGCGATAGAGGTCTGCACGTTGAACTGGATGGCTGTGAGGTTGAGTACTCCTACAGCCGTATCCACTTCCGTATCTGCGGAACCCTTCAGCGAAATTGTGGTATGAACTGACGTCGCAGTATTTGATAGGAACTGCTCGAAGACGCTGGTTTGCCCCTGAAGAACGTTGAACGGAACATCGGAAATCTGCAGGTGGATTATACGCTTGTCGACATCAGTTGAACATGGGCCCTTCGGTATATTCAGCTGAGCGAAGTCAGTGCTGCCAAAACCGGCCGTGATGTTTTGTCCGACAGAGATGATATTCACGGGGAAGCCGAAAGGAAGTGAGAAAGCCGCCGTGGCGTCGTTGCTGCTCATGGACGGGCTGAAGGCAGTAGTATCGGTGAAGCGGAGGTCAAGTTCATTCAAGGTGACTGCTGTGATTACGTCCAGAGTGCCCTGATTCGGGAGGGTAGCTTGGACCTGTAGCGCCTTGATACCTTCGTTGAGCCAGGTAGCCTAGCGGAGGACACATTCAGAGTAAAATCGGGAATGAAAGCATCGTGCACGTACGTCGGTGGCTCCAGCTCCGCTGCCTTGCACCACCACATCGCTGTCTTGTCCGTGCACGAAGCCATCAACCAAAGCCGAGACAGCTTTCAGTCCTGCTTCCGAGCTCTGCGGGACAAGACGCCCGGAGAGTGGCAGAGAGACTGCAGAAAGAGGCAAGAGGCTGAAAGGAGTGGATGAAGACACGGGGCCTATAGTCGTGTTCTGGAAGAAAGCCTGGAACTCTATCGACGACAGCGCAATGCCTATTTGGGAAGGCTATGACAGGAGGCCATCAATAAACTTGCGAATCGTCAACGACCATCGATACTGACATTCGCCACGGTGGTGTCCAGAGTAAGGTGGATCCCGCCTGCTGGGTCGTTGCTGGGCAAGTCGAAACTGTCGATCTTCACGCCGCCCTTCAAGTTGTTCATACCCTTCAGAGTGACGTTCTTGCCAGGGAGCGATACACCAGGGACCAAGATACCTGAGAAATCACTCATTCGATGACGTGCTTGGCCCATCCCAATGTGACGCTTACCAAGAGCAGAGACTGCACAAGCGTCAGCACTTTCCCACATGCTGCAATCATACATGGACTCACCTGTCAGATCGTTTCCAGAAATGACCCAATTGATTGAATCTTGTGTGACCAGTGCCTTGGTGAAGTCCGTCAAGTGGTCAACATTGGTCACGTTGACGGTCGCATCGACCTGGAAGTTTGCCCCAGCATTGCCGACCACGTGAACGTCGGGCATAGCAATGTTCCCAAACGAAGCCCCGTCCCAATGAAGATCAAGTCCCATGGGGAAGGTGATGTTAGCATCGACTATGCGTACGGCAATGAGTATTTGAAGTGACATGCATTCGCAAGCCAACTCACAAGGACCGGCATTCGTGATCGAACCATTGAGAGACGCGGTGAATGAGTTTTGCTTCACATCCTTGATAAGGATAGTTTCGATGCCAAGAACTGTGCCAGAAACGATCTTCTGCACAATTGGCTGTGCTAAAATTGGGAGAAGCAGGTTGAGACTCTTGTCGGTTTTGACGGAGACGTTGTGTTGGGTGTAAGCGAGAGTGGTCGGATATTCGCCTGCCGGTGCCGCCAGCGTCAGCTACAATCGATCTGCCGCTAATCGTGGGAACAAGACAACGACCCACCGATGGTCACCCCCACTTGCAGGTTCACGTCTGCTGCAAGCTTGGAGAAGGCCTGATCTACGTAGGTAGGGAGATTGAAGCCGCTTTAGATAGCATATTCAGCATCAATCCCTCCGAAGAAAGGTAACTGAAGACGGACATGAATGTGACGTCATTGCGTTTGTCCATTTGCCAGTGTCGTGCGGTATTGACGTTATCCAAGTATTGGTACCCTCCCAGTTGAACGATTGCATCCAACTGATCCGTGCTGAGCCCTGCAGACTGTGCACATATCTGTGTCACAGTAAACAACGCCTCAGGATCCAAGTTCAAGGCTAGGTCAAGCGCTGGAGACTCGGTGGTCGAGTTACCCTTCGACGAGAAGGCGACTGGTGCGTCGATCGTGCCAAGAGAAATGCTGTGGAAACTGATGTTGGAATTGACGTGGGTGATGGCGAATTCTGCAGTGAATGGATTCGTGAGCGAGACCGTCGCGTGGACAGTGTTATTCTGTTGACTGGTGGTGTCGAGAACTATGTCATCGAGTCAGTGTCAGCTTCCTCGATGAATTTGAATGTACGTGGAGAGGCCCTCCACAATCACCTGAAAGCGAGGCGGAGCCGATGAGGTTTGCTTCGAGGGCAGGAAGGCTTGCGCTGACATTCAAACTCTCGAAGGCGGAGACAAGGGACTCGATGGGAGTGCTCTGACCATAACCTGAGGCAGCGACCTCGACGTCTAGGTCGGCACTTCAGTTCGTTTCCGACGGTAATGAATCATGAGAAGACCAACCTGTGCCACCAACAAACTCGTTGAGGGTCCGCATCCCTTGTGGTGTGTCATTGGGCTAGAGATATTGTAGTGAGTTGGTGAAAGGATAGGCTTGTTTGGAGTGCCATTACAGTAAAGTTCCCCTGGGCCGAGAAGGAGTTGTTTCCTCGTTGGAGCGTCATATCCGGGATCAGGATCGTCCCCAATAAGGCTCCGTATCGGAAAAGTTGCAGAGCTAGTGTAGCGTCAAGTGTGGGTAACACATGACAGAAACAGGGATATCTATCTGTTACGCACAGAGGTCGCCCGTCGAGAGTACAAGATTCGAGGGGTTCTGAATGTTCACTGTAATGATGCAAAGTCAGCATCGTCTTGATGGAATGATTACTGATGAAAGGTGTAACTAACTGGGGATAGTGAGATGTATGGCCTCAGTTGACCCTCCGATAACATCCACAGTGCCGATATCAACGAGCTGCTTCAATCCCTGGAGACCTTTTAAACTCGATGCGACATTGAAGATGATTGGGTCTAGAGTAAGCTGCCCGATGCTCGTGTTAGCGACAGCACGAGCGTTGCCTTCTAGCTGGAATGGGAGCGACGAGCTATTGGTGAGGTTGCGGGCTGGTACACAAATCAGCGTAATACCGACTCGGGAGCTAGAAAGTTACGCACTGAAAACGGAGAAGATAGGATGGCTCGCATCCGGGATAGCCAGCGGAGTGTCGTCTATGGTGATGTTCACAGTTCCCCGTGTGCAAGTCGAGTTCACCACATCGATTTGGCTTACGGAAGCGCTTGGAGGCTGCATGAAAGCTCGTCAATGCCAGCCTATTGGTCGGTGAAATTTACATACCGCAGACAGACCACTAACGACGCTCCCCTCATCCGTGATGTTGAACGAGTTGGAAAGCTGTCCTATCGAGACATTGAATCCGAACGGCAGCTCCAACTCGGCCTGTACCGACCGCGAACTTGCTATCGGCGCCCAAGCATTCTGCTCGCTGAACACAAGCGCCATGTCTCCGATGCTGATGCTCTTGATCGGGCTGATCGGTCCAGGTGCCTTGAAAGGAACGGTCAGTTGAAGCGCGGTCAGACCCGAGCTGAGCCATGAGACCGCGTTCCCGTCGTTCTGGAACGACGACCGTCCCCTCGCAAGAACCTCGGGGTTGCCTGCGTTGAGGTACTCTGTAAAGAGCTGGGAGACCTTGGAGAGGCTGTCCGAGCTGTTCTGGGGAACGAGCGTGCCTCGAAGTGTAACGTTGTTCCCGCCGGAGCCGACCGTCGTGTTATAGCCGCTCCCAGATCCGAGATATAACCCATCATACGACAAGTCGAAGACCACAGTACCGAGGTCGATGCTGAACGGACTCGGGTTCTGTATGCCCGTCACAGCGACGAACTCGATCCCGCCTCCAGGGGCGTCCCTCGGAAGCTGTAAGTCAACCAGCGTGATTTCATCCTGGAAGTTGTTCATCCCGCTCAGCGCGACGTCCTTCTGGAAGTTGAGCTCGTGCGCGGTAAGGAACTTGAGCGCGCGCACGTCGACCTTCTCGCTCGTCAGGTGCCAGGTGAAATTCTGCTCCGTGATGAGCGCGGAGGTGAACTGGGAGAACGCAGTTTCGTCGTCAATTGAGAAAGGAACGGTCTCGTTAATATAGGCGCGCTTGTTCTTGATAGTAAGGGGGTCGAGGAGAAACGACCCGAGTTGCACTTGGTCCCCCTTGCTGTTCGTCCATAGGACGGCGATCGGCTCGTTGAACTTGACAGTGGCGGAGAAGATGCCGCCATGCGAGATCCATGCGTTCAGCGACAAGTCGAACCTGGGCGATAGATGCTGCATCAGCCGGTGATCTTATCGTCGTACCCTGTACAGACACTCACGACTGGTTCGTAGGGTTGGTGATGATGGCTTGATCGACGTGAAGTACAGTAGCGTTAACGAGATGCTGTGCTATAGCGTGTACCACGGGATAGAGGAGAATGAACAAGATAGCGATACTTAGCAGGGCGACAACGATGTTCGTGATGATGAACCACTTCCGCTTGTACAGCGGCTCCTTCGGCTCTTTAGCGACATCTTTTCTCGGGCCCTCGTACTCGTTTCCAATCCCGCTGTCTGCGAGGGTTGGTCTAGTAGTTCCATCTGGGCTAAAGCGAGAGTTACCAAGGGGAAGTGGGTCGAACGGAGAGGTGTGCCTCGAGAAAAGGTCGTTTGGATAGCCTCGTGGCTCCGTGGCGAGTTGAGAAGCCAAATCTTCATCTGCACCTATGAGTATATCGTGAGCCATGGTCCAAGAAGGTCGCTACCGGAGCAATGATATAGAAGGTGACACAGAGACCAGAGATTTCACAAAGAGACAGGGTCAGGGTCAAAAATGAGAGGAGTGACCGCCTGACGAAGCAGTAGAGCAAGGGAACTGTTGAAAGATAGAGAATGCGGGCACTCACCCGCCTCATCTTATAAGTCATCAATGAAGGCCACACAGGTCGATGCAAGCAGAAGTATGAGATCCGGCGAGCCCTGAAGACCATTCACCGAGGTCGCGGAAACAATGTAACTCCAAGCATCTGTCGGTGTTGCTGGGCGCTCGTGGACTGCAGTCCGTGCTTGGTCGAGCGCCGTCGTTCGAGACGCTCTTGGAAGGCTTCTGAGCCCCATGTATGAGCACAGGATATCGTGGGGACCGAACTATGGCTGAGTGGTGAACTTCCTTCCCTGGCGTAGACGGGTGGCCCACATACGACGGCGATTTCCTTCCATACATATATCCTTTATCAGCTCGAGCTGAATAATTATTTGAAGTCAGGATGATCGCCGGTCCTTGCGGATCCGCGCCAGTATCTACTTGACGATGGCGTTTAGTGGTGACCGCGGAGAGAAGTAAATGGTTAGTTTGACATACCAGCACCATCCGATAATCATAGTAAATGTAGAGATGCATCCTTCGCTTGCTGGATAGCTCCGTAACCACATGAGCGCATCGTAACTGAGAGGAAGGCTGATACAGCTGATATGCATGGACAAATAGTCGGGCCAGGCCGGGAAAGCTCTCGAGCTTAAAATCGACGCGATGGTGGTGCCCGTGCTCGGATTGATGCATGCAATGGAAGCCTCAGCAATAAGACAAGGTGATTTTTTCGACTATCAAACCTTTTCTCTGCTTAATATACTAGCCGTAAAGAACAAAACGCATAGCGGTGCACTGCAGAAGAGGGATCACGCGGTCGTTGTAGTCTGCAAGCTTTCTGGGCCGACTTGCTCCGCCCAAGACGGCTCGACACGCGACTCATATTGCGAAGGTGCTACTGCTGATGCGAGTGTACTCGAGCGAGCAATTGAGAAATCGTGACGAGAAAAGGTAGGTACTCAAATATGTGCGGGGTCGAGTTATTTCAATTTGCATCGAACTTTGAGTGGTCGGTCCCGGGTCGATAAGTGTATGGAAGATAGAGATTCGGGTTGTCCCTCTTGACGGCCTAGAGCTATGCCAAACTCAGCAGGCTACTGCATGATTCAACGCAGCTTTCGCGCCTGGTATGCGTCGGTGTAAGCGTGGAAGCAAGACGTTGAGCTGAGGAAGCTCACCTCCCGTGGTATCGCGATAGACATGATGCCGGTATCTGTGATACTACAAATGTCTACGATGTTACCCCGATCCAGAAACGATAGATGACGACACATTGCAATCCACGAAGTGCGAGACAAACAGATATATTGCGAGAAAACAGTAAGCAGAAAAGTTTCACAGACGCGAGACTGTACTGAACCACCGGCCCATCCTCTCCGCGGGGGAAAAATAAGGAGACGACATGAGGGCACTAAGATATCCGAGTTCCTCTTGACACGGCTTGACACTCGAACGACCGCGTAGAGCATTGCAGTCATGAGCAACATGGGGAAAAGTCTAAGCCGTGTCGCCGCACGAGAAAAAGTCACGAAAGCGCCGTAGAGGCCTTTATATGGGGCCGGTGTGGGAATATTTAGGGCAGGCTGGGGCACACTCGGTATGCCCAGCGTCATCGGGAAGCAGCCAGTCACTTTCCCTCTCGTTCTCGACTCTAGCACATGCGACATACGTCTGTGGACCCTGCGTTTTCATGATTCAACCATCTTACGTCTTTGCTACCCCTTGTCATCATGTCCTCTATCCTTGAGTCCTCTCTGACTGTTCCAGTCACGTTCTCGACACCGGCTAGTCGAAGCAGAGGGAGCGCACCTGTAGACCCAGTGGACCACAGCTTTTCGTCTGCTGTACCATCTTACATCACTTGTTGGGGCTCTCACAGTTCTTCGCTCTTATCTGACAGTAAATCCGACCCTCGTTCTGTTCTTGGCGTTGTCGTGGGTTGTCGAGACGGCTCAGTCTACATATTGCGGTCAACAGGACACTCAGGTGCTGTACCCTCCGTAAAACCTGCTTCCAACTCCTCCGAATCTGTGCTATCGCCCACGAGTGCACGGCGATTCCTTGGTCTGGGCCGTCCGACTTCGCGTTCCGCCTCTCCGTCCTCTACCAAGTCTTCCCTGTCTCCTTTCCAAGTCACTCGTTCTCGTATCGTTTCTGCTGTCTCCAACGAACAAGCAGAAGCTCCAAAGAACTACGTCGACTTTGATGACGAACAAGAGAAGCTTAGGGGTATGCTCAAGGGCAAAGGTCACCGTGATAGGCACTTGTCTACGTCCAGAACCCGCTCGGACAGGGATGCTGTCCCCGAGAAAGCGACACAGTCCTCCCAGACCCCAGGAAGCAGCCTACGAAAAGAAGACACACGGAGCTATCTGGCTTCTGCGCTCTCGCCTACGTCGTCAACGCAATCCTTGTTGTTGTCTGGTCCTCCTTCGCCCACTCTTGTGCCCGCTCCGTCCCCAGAGCCTGGATCGCCTACTCCCCTTGGCTTGCGTTGTCACACATTTCCCCCTCAAGCTGGTCCGGGACGGCTTGTGACATCTCTGAAACTACACGATCGCGGTCGTTACATAACATGCCTCAATGCAGCTGGGTGAGCCAGAGCGTCCTTCCATGTCCCTTGCATAGCCGCTTATGATGGTTGTAGCGGTCTTTCCGTTCACTCGACTCTGGATGGCAGTTGTCTCGCGTCGACAATCATCCACGTGCGGCGCAGGCCGACAGCGCTAGGTGGGAAGACGCAGCCTGTGCATGCTATGCTTTGGGTCTGGAGGACATTGCTGGTGGCGGCATCCCAGGAGGTGCGCCGGCTTGCCCATGGTATACTTCCTGTGCTAATTAGTGATTCCCCATGTACATATTACGCAGTCAACCATCCTCTTCGCTTGTGCTTCCCCTGACGAGTTCTATCCCGCGGGTCAGTTCAACGATCCTGGTGCCGGGGATTCGGAAAATGTTTCGCTAGTAGTCGCGTATGAGCTGTCGCTGGGAGGCGAAGTGCAAGCTGCGGACGCCAAGCTCGAGTATCTTGGAGAGTGGACTATCGATGGTCCTGTCAACTCCATTAGCTTGCGTGCAGAGGACGACCGTGAGTCCTAGTATGATTCGCATGCATACGCATTCAGTGACCTATCTCTACACATAGACTCGTTGACCCTCTTTCATGTCAATTCTCATGGCTACCTTATCTCGCGCTCCCTTCGGATCAACGATGCGCTACCCTCACCTTCCGCAGACGTCCCGGAGTCCCATTCCTCTTCCCATCTACCACTGCCCAATCCGTTCAGAGTCCTCAAGTCCCTCTCCACGGAGCACATTCCCGATACTGAGAAGCATGAAGCTGCTGAGCGCATACGGCTGGTCAGCGAGGTCAACCACGGCGAGTTGGGCCTCTCCCTGCCCGTGGTCGGTCTGCGAGCCTACGATGGCGGAGAGGACGTCCGGCTCTGTGCTTGGTCAGCCAGTGAGATCCAGGTTCGTGTCTCGTGCACATTGAACTCTTCCGCAATCTGATAAGATGTACAGGTGCTGATCTGTTCGCGCGAAGGGCTCGAGTGCTCTCCACCAGCCCCGATTGCCCGCATCGAGAACGTACGATGGATTGACAACGACTCTTTCTCCGTGCTCTTCCCCGTAAGATCCCGAACAGATACTCCGAACATCTCTCTCATCGCCGTTCACAGGACCGGATTGAGATATACCGCACGACCTTCACGCTTGAGAGCGAGGAGGGCCATCGCCTCGCGTACGTTATCTCACTCCGTCTCCGTGGCAACGTAAATCCTGAAACTCCCCAGATTTCAAAAGATTCAGACTACATCCTTCACGCCGGGAGACGCCGCGGCGCTCACATCCGGGGGTCACGTTGTGTCCACCCACGTCAAGAATGGGAGCCGGAGGGTGCATTACACCGTGCACGACGCTCCTGTCGACGACGCGAAGTTGAGGACGCGGACGTTGTGGAAGGGTCGCGACCCCAGTCCTTCCAGCGCGCAAGCGGAGAGGCGTATCACGTCGATACTCCCGCTCGAGCTCGAGCTCATCGTGCTGGGCTACTGTGAGTATTTGCGTTCACGCCCTCGGAGTTACGGGAGTTCAGTATACGCACTGTATTGCAGCGGACGGGCACGTTTGTCGCTCTTCGCTCCTAGATCTCGCGAAGGGCTCAAGCGACGCAGAAGCAGGTTTGATTTCTTCGGACTTTCCCCTTCCGTCTGGGATCATCGCCATGGAGTCCGTGGAGAACCGTCGGACGGGAGAGCGCCTGCTTGTTAGCGGCGCGGACGACGGAACGCTCGGAATTTGGGCACTCAGGTGAGCTATATTTTGTCCATCAGACGCTAGTGTGGGTTGTGCCATTGTTTAATTGATGTGTTACCAGTACGCTGAAGCTTTGCGCACGGTGGACGGTGTTCACGAGCCCGCTCGCGCGCGTCGTTCCGTTGCACGGCGAGAAGGTCGGGAGACTGCTGGGATGCGTGCTTTGTATCTCCCAGGACGGGACTATTGCTGTCATAGCGCTGGATGGACCCCAATTGTGCGTCATTTATCGTTTTCTCGTAGGTTATTCTCTGAGTAGTGTTCCGTCTGGCTAGTGTCTACCTCGTTCCTGCATCCGCTGCTCCTCTGCATCGTGTATGTTTAGGAGAAGATAACATGTTGCTAATGTATGGAGATGGTCGCGCGAGGTTGTGGGATACGCGGACGAGGGAGTTTTGGCGGTCGATGAGTACAGAGAAGGCAGAAGAGCTCTTGCAAGAGGACGGTTGGTCGCAGTGGTAGGTCTGACGTGTACATCACAACGGTCTTCGCTAATGTGTCTTAGGTCCATGGAGGAACCTCCTGGTAGCAAAGACGTACTTACCATAGTGACTTCTCATAGCTCTTCTGATGCAGGTGCGCCCACACGCAGATGAACGCCAGTTTCAGTCCACCCTGACCACACTTTCCAGCGTCCACTCTTCTTATCAACATTTCCGTGCTCTTGCGTCAATTTGCATCAAGCGCAGCACTCGCGGGCACAAAAGGTCCCATCAGCGCAAAGGCTCGGTTGGAGCACGCGCGTGCCCTGCTGTCGCTGCTCCTCACCTTCGGCATCAGCGAAGGAATCGACACCATCTGCGCAGAAAACCTCTCTATTATGCTTCAATCGACCCCGATAGGCTTGGCAAGTGCGAACAGCCTCTCATTGCTCCTTCAATCCACTCCCATGAGCTCCTGGACGTTGTCGCCCGAGGTCTCTGCCGAACGGGCTCTGGCCATTCTCTCGGTCTTGCAGTATCTGATGCAATTCGAAAGTCCGTCATCATCACCCCCTGAATGTGCAGCACATTTACGGTTTACTAGATCTCGCACAAGATGCCAGCACTGTCATGACGTTCTACGCAGCATCAGTCGGGCAACTCGTTCCTGAGTTTTACCAGCCGCCTAGTCTCCCTCGCCTAGGTCAACATATGCTGTACACACTATGTACGTTTCTTTATGCCCCCTCAGAGATGATACTGAGCATCCTGCTGTAGCGGCTGAAGAGCGGCAGGCCGCGCGACTGCTTTTCGACGCTGGCGTTGCTCGGCTGTCGGACCAGGAGACCGCGGACATAGTGGAATGCTGGCAGCAACACCGTAAGCATGTTCCACCGTCTTTCTCTCAGGGTCACTCATCCGTGGTATAGTCCCAATACTGCAGCACGAGAAGCAGAAGGATTCTACGAGGAGTGCGTTGGCTCTATGCGTCTGCGGTTTCATCGCTGTGGACAAGTACAGCCTTCTGCCTACGAGGTTCGTTTCCCTTACGCAGTTCATTACGGGCCGCGTCCTGATAAGTCCTTCTCATAGCACTCTCACCGATATCGCGAAGTCTATTGCGGGATACCTGCATGATGAGACATCTCCGCATCGGTCATTGGCAATCGACCTCTGTTCGCGTGGGTTCCAAGTCTGGCAGCAGTACGTCGATGCGGTTGAGATGCTCCGTGCGCTATTCACCCTCGCCACGACGACAAAGAAGGAGGCGATCGCCGTACCAAACATCGGCGTCCAGGCGCGAACGGCGGTTCTTCAGATCGCTGCGAGCAATACGCCACTCTTCATGACGACGCTTGCGATCGACATTCTCCACCCGCGCAGCGTGCAGCACCGCAAGTCCGTGATGCAGCTCGTCATCTTCCTCATTCGCAAGAAGCCGCTGGTGTTATACAGCAATCTTCCCAGGTTGGTGGAAGCAATTGTGAAGTCACTGGACCCCAACTCGAACGCGACACGCGAGGCCGTCTTGGATTCCGCTACGGAGATCTTGAGTCATATCGTACAGACGTGAGTATTGGTTGCGATGGAGGGACCGTCATTGTACTCACCTGAGCGCATGGTTACTCAGTTTTCCTACGGTTGACTTCCATATGGGCACCCAACGATTAGTGGTAGGAACGAGCGAGGGCGCGGTCGTGATGTACGATCTCAAGACTGCCACTCGCCTATATGTTCTTGAAGGGCACAAGAAGCGTACAACTGCATGCAGTTTCTCGCCTGACGGCCGTCGCGTAGTGACGATGTCTCTTGAGGAGTCGGCCGTGCTCGTCTGGAAGGTCGGAGCAAGCTTCACCAGCTTCTTTATGCCAGGGGTACCTCCTCGGCAGGGCCACAGCGGTTCTGAGCCGTTCAAGACGCTCAGCTTCAACATTGGAGACGCGGGTGAGTCCCAGTCAAGCGAGATATGGAGTCTATGTTGATCGTGACAATAACAGCGCACATGAGCTTGGAGGGCACTCTTGTGGATGTGCGGTTTGAGTGGGCAGGAGACCGAAGTGTTAAGCTCATGATTAAGGATACTACCTTAACTTTCAGTACCTGATACCGTTGCGGGGCACAGGACACATGCTATGGCAACTCGGAACCGCCCCCGTTCATCATGCTCTTGCTCTCTGACATGCGGTCAGAAACTGTCACGACCGCAACGTGTACGCCATGCACGTCCCGTAGTATAGGCTCGATTTTCTTGTCAGAGGTCGCGGCGAGTACACGCTAGGCATGCCTCGTTCTGGGGCTTCGATTCGGGATGACAGGAAACCTGGAAGATGCACACAAGGCGATCTAGGCAAGTAGCTCCGTTATGGCTAATCGGTACCTCCACATGTTCAGCCATTCTCACGTGTATCTCAGATTTACCAATAACGATTCAAGGCCTTCCTAAGTCCTCGAGCCATCGCACGCGCTGCTTCCGGAACACTTCTGTCCGAGCTAGCGACGGCGCGGCTGCAGATTCCGATGCGTTTCCTTGTCTACACTGTCGAGCTGTACATAAGTAGCCGCCGCATAGCGATCCGCCTTGCTTGCCTCGTGGCGTCGGTCCGTCATCGTTCTGACCCGCTTTTAACCGTACGTGCCGATATCTTGACCAGAAATAATCTCCGCCTTGCGGACGTCTCGGCTTTCTCACGCATCGACGAAGTCCAGTCCAGCCCAACTATGGCTAGCACATAGAGCGCAGTGGCTGAGTTGCCTCGTTCTAGTCAAGATTATTGCAAGCCCAGGTCTGCGGTGATCTTGACAGGAGTCCGCGTTCCACCCATCTGGAAGTCCCTCGGCGCACCCTACCGGTCTGCTCCGGTCAATCCCAGTTCACCGTCCATCTGGACGTGGTGGCGTGTACGTACTGTGTATGGCTCCCACATATTCGATGACGACACGACCGTCAATGTGAAGGATTGTATCCCGAGGCTGATGGAATCATCTCAGATCTTTCCCGCATCGAGAATTACACGTCCATACACTATAGTGAGTGAGAACTCGTTCGTTTCGTTGACCACGAGTTCCACTCATGACCTGAATGGTGCAACAGAGGTCTATGACTGGTCATTTGTCATGCTCCATCCCCCGTAGGGTCAGGTGGCGACTGTCAGGCGATTAACAAACCGATATACGGGTATCCGGTTCAAGATTTGAACGAACAACATGGCAAGTCCTCGGTCGCCGAGAAGTCGTACACACGAACGTGAGATGTACGCGTTTTTCGGACTCGCGAGCGGGTGCACAGGCGGACAGCTCGGAAGCGGGGGGGTACATATAGAGAGTGCCTTTCAGCGTCCATAACTCCCCATTCCTCGCGTTCCAGGGGAACGCACCTATACCATCCCCAATATACCCCTTAATTGTCGCCACTTCACTTTCTCGTCATACCCCTCTAGGTCATGTCTCACATCGCCGCAGCGACAATGCCCGACCTCACCGGCTGCGCCGTGAATGGACGCTTTCGGCTCGTCCGCATGCTAGGCTCTGGCACCTATGGCGTCGTATACCAAGCCGTCGATACCCATGTTACCCCTTCCGACAACACCCCCTCTCTTGCAATCAAGATGATCCGCAAAGCGGGTCGCATGAAGCACGAGCTTGCAGCCGCGCGGCGAGAAATCGCCCTTCACGGTCTCGTTTCCGACCACCCTAGCGTCGTCACCGTCCGCGATGCATACGAGGATGACGACTACTTCTACCTGATCATGGACTTCTGTCGGACTGGCGATCTCTTCGAACCAATCTGCCGGAAGGTGTACGTCAATAACGACGCGCTTGTACGGAAGGCGTTTGTGTGCCTCGTCGACGCCGTTGAGGCGTGCCACAGCCTACGGATATACCATCGCGACCTCAAACCCGAAAACATCCTCGTCAGCGAGGACCGCTCTCAGGTCTATCTCGCGGACTTTGGTTTGGCGACCAACCAGCCCATAGTCCAAGAGTTTTACTGCGGAACCGCAGCCTACATGAGCCCTGGTGAGTACTGCGTCTCATGGCATGTCGGACCGTCTTTGACGTGGAGTCTACGCTGTCATTAGAATGTATCGGACATCTCTCTGGATTCCGACCGTACTACACCGCGTTGAGCGACATCTGGTCTCTAGGCGTCATCCTCGTCAACATGATTAGTGGGCGCAATCCATGGGAGAAAGCGACGCTCGATGATCCGTGCTTCATCCAATTCATAGAGAATCCCGACTTTCTCTTTGACATGCTGCCCATCTCCGAGGGTGCTAACGATATCCTCCGTCATATCTTTGTCCTCAATCCCCTCGGCCGTCCATCTCTCCAGGACCTCCGGATGGCCATCCTCGAGCTGGACACGTTCTGGCGATACGATGACGAGCTTTCCGTCGTCGAGGAATACATCCGAGCACCGGCACCCACACTCGGAGAGGCTGACCTTGCTACAGGTCGTCTCACGAGAGCCAGCTACCTGCTGGCCAGTATGACCTCCTTCAAACCCAGCTACGAGACGTCTTCACGCGACCTGTCATCTGTCGCATCGCGCCCTCAGTGGGCCTTCGATCTTCCTCCACTTACAGGCGAGGGGTGTTCCGGCGACTCCGAGTCCACTGTCGGTTCGACAACTTCCCTCGTGTCCTCTCCGGAAAGCAGTATGGTGCTTACACCCGAAAATACCACGACGAGGGTTGAGTTAGAAGAGAAGGACGTCGCCGGGAGGGTTGTAGATCCGGACGCTACAGCAAGCTCTATCACGGACTTACTCTTCCCGATATTGAACGCACAGTTTCGCAGAAGTACTTGACATGATTTAACGGACTATGTGGACGATGGACTGGTTTCAATGATGAGCGCGCAAACGGCGGCGGACATGTACTACTAGTATATATGGGGGTAGAGTCGTGGCCGTTCACTTCATGTTCTTCACGACACAGTATACGTACGAAATTGCCACAATATACCCGGTTTCCCATTCTTGGAATGAGGTCTAGCGTGAGTTCGTCATTGTCTGGCGAAGGCGAGAGGACAGGAACGACTACCAGATGCATTACGGACACGTGCCCGACTTACTCTAGCGCTCGAATGTGCGTCGCTGGGAAGATCGTCCGAGTCGTCCAACCAATTCTGTGGATCTACATATATGTAGTTTTACTGATTCTCTGGACTATCCCGTCTTGCACCAATCACCCACCAACCCTGCTCCCGCTACCTCACCATCGCCTCTGTAATCCCAACCGCTGCACCTCGGGCCCGTATGAGTCCACAGCAACCGAACGGTAGCAGCACGAGTCAGAGTTCCAAGGTGGGTATACTCGCAGCTCGCGTTATCATCGGGCTCTGTCTGGACGCTGATGTTGACATCCGAACGATTCAGAAACGTCATGCGCCTTCTTGACACAGAAACTGGGCAGTTCTTTGAGACGAATCCCAAGGTCGCTACGTACGCCATCTTGTCCCACACCTGGGATCCCTTAAAGGGGGAGCAAACGTACAATGAGCTCAAGGGGAGTCAGGGCCGTTATCCTATGGATACCCAACAGCCCCCTTTGAGTCAGTCCTTCCCCTCTCCGACCATTCTCGGGTCGTCAGACTCCATTCTTACCAGTTCTTCTCCCGTTGAGTCTTCTCTCTATATCTAAGCAGCTCTTCTTAATCTTATCCACATTTTGCATCGTAATCCAGCCTTCCATTTGGGACGACCCGAACTTCTCTCCGAAGATCCGAGACGCATGTGCGATCGCGCGCGCAAATGGCTTCCGATACATATGGATCGACTCTTGCTGCATCGACAAGGGCAGTAGCTCAGAGCTTTCCGAGTCGATCAACTCAATGCACGCTTGGTACGCGGCTGCGAAGGTTTGCTACGCGTTTCTGGCGGATGTTGTGGCCGAAGAAGATTTGGCCTATCCACTCTCCACCTTCCGCAAGAGCCGGTGGTTCACCCGTGGGTGGACGCTCCAAGAGCTCATTGCACCCTGGGATGTCGTCTTCTTCTCCGGAGATTGGAGGGTTATGGGATCGAAGGATACGTTGGCTGACCTTCTGGAGACGGTTACGGGCATCGATCGCGGAGTGTTGCTGCACCAAAAATCTCTCGACGAGGTCAGCGTCGCTGCACGTCTCTCTTGGGCGGCCAAACGTGTCACTACAAGGGTCGAAGACGAAGCATATTCACTTCTAGGGATCTTCGACATCAACATGCCCACGCTATACGGTGAAGGCATCCGTGCTTTCCGCCGTCTACAGGAGGAAATCATGCGTCGCATCCCAGATCAGAGCCTCTTCGCACCTGGGTTGGGACTACTCGGATGTGCGACACCCGTCAATACCGCTGCACAGAATGACGGTATTCCACATCCTGCGTTCATCCGCAGATGTCAGCTACAGGAGTCGTCCCGACAGTCTCTTGTACCCTCCCTCACCAATTTCCGGGATTCCGGGAGCATCAGGGTGGTCCCTCGCCACACCGTACGCAGAATCCTCGGCCTCTCTGTGAATCCCCCTATGACCGAATACGTCTTCTCTCCCTACGGCATCCGCATGCAAATTCCTATGATGCCGATCTTCCCCTTTCTGCCTCCGGATTTGCCCGAAAAGGACCGTGCAGAGTCGCAGGACTGGTACCTTGCTATCCTCGGGTGCGAGTCTACCGACGACCCTGGACATCTGCTATGTCGAGTTGTGCACATGCCCGAGTCTGACTCCGACATACACCAGCCTGTTGCTGGGCTTGCTTGGGTGCACATGCAGAATCCCAGCCTGAAGGGCTTCTGCGCCCTCCTCTCTCTGTCGCCGGATACCATAGAGCGCTGCCGTGCTCACATTAAGGTCCACACAGTATATCTTTCTCATCCCGAACGTGGGGCGGGGTTGTCAGAGCTCGCATGCGATCGCGCACATGATGAAATACGCCTGATACTCCCGACAACAGTTCAAGACGCCCTTTGCGCTGAAGGCTACACGATCGAGCTCAGAGGTCCAGATCAAGCCCATCCAAACACGCACCTGCTCACGCTATCACATGAAAGACACATTGTCACCATCGAATACAAGTACTCCCTAATGGCTAGTGGACTAGCGTGGAAGATGCGAGCGCTCGTGACGGCGTCCTGGAAGCCCCCGAACTGGACCGATGGAACGACAGAGTCGCCGGCTTCTTCCATGATTTCGTGGAAAGACTCTAGACCATGGATGCCGCGTCTCCTCGAAGAAGAGGTGACTCTCGCCGGGCCTGGAGGCCAGGCGCTTCGCGTGGTCCTTGGGTTGGACCTTGCCTGGACATCGCGTTACTTCTTGCTCGTCGATGTCTGCGAGGTCATCACAGACACGCCCGCCGTCGAGACAGGCGAGGGAGAACCGCGGGCCCGAGTACCCGGGGCGCCAGGCCCTGCTGGCGACGACTAACGTGGAGTACGCTGCAATGCATCAGATTCGAGAGACCCTGAGACGAGAGATGATGAAGAGTATATGGACTTTTACGCGTAGTCTTGGTCCGGAATCCAGAGATGGGTTCGACAACATCCGACGACGGTGATGGGGGCTCGACCTGCCAGCGCCGCCCCAGCTGTATCACAGAGGTGTTTGACAGTCGTTTAGCTGTGTTTCCTTTCGTCGATGCTTTGAGCAAGCCATGGACGTGTCTATTGTGAATATCGCATAAGAGGCGACCAGCAGCATGAAGCCAAGCAAAAACATGACGACTCATCTAATACTGGTAGCAGCGAAAGGCCGAGTATCTCTTGATTAGGGCTGGCCAACCTCGTACATACCACATACGCTCGCTTCGGCTTGTGTCTCTCTCGCATGCAGTGGCATGGTCTATACTAGTGAAGCATATGATGGAATGACCGGAGTTTTATTCATCAAAAGGGGTCTCCATACAAGGGTTATCCAGAACAACAACACGATGTCCTAGATGGGGAACTGGAGAGAAAGATTCGTGATAAGGTTAAAGCCGTCCGCGCGGTAGTCGTCGCTCGTGATGGTGAGGGGAATGAGCCCATCCAGGAACGTGAGGAGCTTCGGCGAGTCGACGGAGTACTGTGGCCACGCGATGCCCGTCTTGCCGTTCGGGTCGAGGTGGTTCACGAAGTTGACAAGGTAGTCCGTCATGTCGCCGCCCCCGTACACGTTCAGGATGTCCGTAGCGTGCGCAGAACCAAGCACGGCCAGATCCTTGAGGCGCTTGTTCACTGCATGCACATGCCGAGACCACGATCGTCAGATGGCCGATTGACTCAAGTGCACGGAGAATGACGTACAGAAGGACCATGTCGGCTGCTTGCCGGCGACGTTTTGCAAGAAGAACCGCCGCGGCGCCTGGAAGACCAGGTCGCCCTGCAAGGCCGCGATACGCTTGTATTCGGGGGTGAGCGCATTCAGCACGCTCGTGTCGAAGGGCGAGCCCTTGGTGACGTCCGCGGGGTACAGCTTTAGAAGGGTGTCGAGGTCGCTCTCCGAGATGTTCACGATGTAGTTGGTCTTGATGTACGTCCGCAACTGAGACTCGTTTCTGTGCTCGTAGCCATCCTGCTCAGCGCAAAAGCGGACATCAGACGTTTGTGTAGCTTACGTGATGTTGAGGTTCGACAGGGAGAAGAGAGTGCCTTCGTCATCGCAGTCCTTGAGAGTACACGGGATAAATCAATGAACCTGTCTCGGAGAGGTGGTTGCTTACACCAGTGATGAACGGCACGTTCGCAACGGACCCTTGCTGAACAAGCTTCTGCGGGGCATCAGTCAAGAAGACGCCGTCCGCGCGGGGCAGCCAAGCCAGCCGCAAGGACTTGAGAGGTGGTGGGTCAGTGTGAACCTTCTCTTCGCACAAAGGTCAAACTCCTTACCTGATAGGAGAAAATCCCAGGTGTATTGTCGACGGCTGCCTTCAGCGTGTCAAAATCGACCTCTCGCAGACACTGCAGCGTGTCCGAGGCGCCAGAACAGCCCGTCGCGGCAACAATGCCATCGTAATCACCCTGTCCATGCGTGATGTCGCCGACCGGGATGGGCGACCCGGACTCCATGAACGCGCCACGGAAGAGGCCTTCGGTATCGCCCCCGTTCGTGACGAGGTGCAGCGCGGCGGAGATCGCCCCAGCGCTCTCGCCCCATCTGCGGACAAGAGAAGGGCGACGATAAGCGGGTGTACATGTGGACCCACAACCGCACATGGAAAATCGTAAACGCAAACGCGACGTACATAGTGACCTTCGACGGGTCTCCGCCGAAGGCGGAAATGTACTTTTGGATCCAGCGAAGGGCGAGACGTTCTGTGGTATGCGTCAGTCAGGAGGACGTCGCCTGAAGCAGGGGAAGTGAGTCAACTGACGGTCTTGCAAGCCGAGGTTGCCTACGCCGGCATCTTTAACTTCTTGGCTGGCAAGAAAGCCGAAGGCTAAATGGTATTCAGTAGGCATTCAATCCGTCATATGTGCATCTCGCTGACCGGCAAGTCTGTAATGCGAGTTGATCAGCCTGGCGGAACGTGGATGGCGGCAGAACGAAATCCTACCGATAGTTCATGCTAACATATACGACTGGCTCGCCGAGCTCGATCGACCGCTGCACAATCACACCTCCGTCATAGCTGTGAACGAGGTCAGGATTGGCACCGAGGCTTGTGAGAAGACGCACGTACGTGCTCGTCCCACCGATCTCGAAGCCGCCTTCGATTACGTTAGTCGGCTGCAGTGACCTGTAATCTTTCCGCGACGTACCTCCGAAGATCCACTAGCATTGCAAGACCTCATTTAGAGCCAGAGGGAAGACACGTGGATGCCAATCAAGACTCACAACTGCTACTGGCAACTTCGCGTCAGGCTTCGTGCCTGCGGGGACGACGACGTTTATGGAGAGGCCTTTCCGCACGGCTACGTCAGTACTCGGGCGTCTGAGAGCTTATACGAATAACCAGCTCACAGTCTTCGGCCGAGGGACTGATGATCTGGTAGATGCTGTTCACGATGAAGTTGAGGGCGTCTTCAGGGAGCCCCTCGGGGTCAGGGATCGTGATCGCCTGTTGGGGACAGGCCGGCCCAAATGCCGTCACTTGGTGCGTGCCGTTGTAAGGGTCGACGGCCACCGGCAAGTTGAAGCGGAGATTCCCAGTTCTGCCATGAGGAAGATCAGCGACACCACATCTGTGAACGTCAAGTGGAGGGGGAACGAACGGAGGCTTCGCGAACGGAATGCCGAGGTATTTGTCCACGACGCCATCTGAGGTGCCTACGAAGGTGCCCTCGTCGAGCTGGATGGAGGGGGACGCACGCTTCGTCATCGGCACCGCGAGCGCGGCCCCTACGAGGGCAGCCAGGAGACAGGACCGGCGGACGAACATGGTGAGGCGAGGAGCGATGTTCAGAGCCTAGAGGCAGGCCTGTGGACCGTAGGAGATCCTCAAGCGATCCCGTCAATACGACCCCCGTATTTATGTCTGCATCGGCTCCCGAGACATGCTAGGACCGCAGTTCCGACGCGAGCAAGATGACTACGCGGCATGCATGTGTCGTTAAGGGGAAAGCCTCATGTCCCCATTCCACGCAATGGCAGCCGCGAATCGGAAAACGCCAAAGAAGAATGACAGCGACCGAATGGCCTGCGTGTGAGACTTGACATCACTTCTACACCGGGCCCGTTTTGCGTGCCGTAGGAGGCCTGGGATATCCCCAAAATCACGGAGGAAAGCAGGGGGGTTCGCGAGGATCACCAGACTGGCGCAGCACGACCGTCATTCGAAGGAAGGTCACATTGGGCGAGAAGGCGACTAATTCGAGTAAGGGAACGGGGCTGACTGATGCGCTGAATATGTCGTTATGTTTGTTCCTGAATACCGTTTGGTGAGACTTCGAATACAGCTCGGTGATCATGAGCTAGCAGCATGGATGAGCGACAAGCAAAGTAGGAAGATCGCTGTGTGAAGCAAGCCTTTGCATGAGCGACACCTCCGCGGCTATGACCGCTGGGCCAGCGAGTCAAACTACACGTTGTTCTACGGCCCCTACCTTCCTATAGATTTGATCTATTTGGGGGAATCAACTGCTTGATGGATGGACCAGAGAGCTGTGAGGGAACCGTAGCCGTCTGATGGGGTATGGTCATGCGACCAAAGCCGTAGGACAACGGTATAATAGCGATATGACTAGCCAAATCGGCGGTCAAAACGCCGGATGTCATAGGACACAGGACGGTCCCATGTTGTCAAAACTTCGGACTTCCGAGAGTACGAGGGCGGTGGAATCAATACGCAGCGGCCATTGAGGGCCTGAACAAGACCATCTCGGATGTGCGCCCTACGGTGCTTTCAAGCGCTTAAATGTTTCAGTGGCGCTTTGCCTCGCGGGCGTGGGTTCGAATACCAGTCTCGTCATTTTCACGGGTTCGACGTCCGGCGCCTATGTTCCATCGACAGGACGTGGCTATCGCACCAGCCGCAGTCCAAGCTTTTATTGTTCTCGCTTCCATCATCATGACAACTCCATTCGCTACGGCGCGCATTCGACTGCAATCCTGGAGCGTCGCCAGGGGTGCTGTTGGGGATCAGACTTGGTCTCAATTCATACTGTGCCCAGCTCCTTGCCAGTGCAGAGTTAGTACAACGACTCAACGAGCAAAGGTAGATCTCCTGTTAGCTACGTTGATGCACCATACATTCGCATCAGTGCTGCCACCGGACTGGTTCTTGTGAACGTCGACCTTAGCTTCCTCACGCTATGGCCACAAATCTTTCTTGTCACACTTCAGCTGGTGTAGAATCAGGTCAGTTTCGTCTGATACGCGATGCGATTAGAAAGTCCTACAATGTGTGCATACATTCAGGCTTTTGTTGCCTGGCTACTGGTGTTCGTCCGAAGGTACACATCTCGTCGTGTGTTGAAGCGTGTTGATATAGCGCTGACCATCCGAGTCTGACAGGTGGATCTTCTCCGCAACTTGAATCACATAGTTGCAGCCGAGATAGAGCGCACGAACACCGCTCAACTTCCGCAGGACATCGTTCACCCGTATTTCGCCGCATTCGTGAGACCCTGGCCCGCTTCAAGCGCGAACGGGAGCCTTCAGCGTTCCTACGCCAGCCGAAGCGATGAGGAGGCTCTCGCCAGGCCGAACCGCAAGCTGCGGCGTACGTTGGTCGTTCCTCGGACGGAAACTCTCGTTCCCTAATCGGTCCGATGGTTGTCGCTCCGGATGGTCCTGTCAAACGTCCCCTACTTCAGTTTTCCCGTCATACTTGACGGCACGTTTCGTCGTCTGACGGAATCATCTCGAGGGACTCAGCAGCGTGGATTGTCACACCTTGAGTGCGCTGCTGTGGGTCGTCCCAGTGGTGAATTGATTTTGACGTTGGAGATGGATCGGCGACTCATATACTACGCTGTCGCATTTCTAGTTAAAATTTTGGTCCGCTTGCCCCGTCCCCATCAATTCTATTTAGGTAAGTATCACCACCTCTCGCTCTACTGATTCGCTAAGTATCGCGATGCAGGTTCTTCGCTTTTCATGTCGTGGGGGCGTGGGGAAACACAACTAAAACGACGCTCCATGAATCCCGTCGTGCGATGCATGATCTCACGAGGGCCGCAAGTATGTCTCTTGTCAGTGAGGGCGGCGTAGTTCCGTTTTGGACTGCATACCTCTTGTCATGTTTCTCGTTTCCAGAACTTGCCGGGTCTCCTCGCTGGGTAAGTTACTTTGACGACACTCCGGCGTCCGCTGACTCATTCAAGTTGCATTGCGCAGCCGATCCTACGAATTCCCTTCGATTTGTGACGTTTCGTGCAGCTGGCGACGTGGTAGTAACAGCCTCCGAATGCTCGTGTACGTCCTTCTATGTGTCATCCATTCATACGCTGATATGATGCTGACGCTGATCTCAGCTAGTGTCTTACAAAGCTCTTGGCTATTCACGGAGCAAGGAGGCCCTCCATGTCTTGCTCGAACACTCACGAAGATGCACGAATCCCCTCTTCCCTTCACGTCAACTATAGTTTCTCTTCCCCATTGTCATGCCGCGCAAATGCGTTCTGGGCCCGCTGTATCGCCGACCCACGCATTGGACATCACGCGACGCACAGCCGCGCAAACCTTGTCTTCAATCCTGTGCTCGACATTGGCAACCCGGCTACCGATTCCATCCCCGTTGGCGTGAGAGTCAGTGACGCAGACTTCGATGCTGCGGCACGTAGGAATGCCGGATATCAGCCGATCCTCGTCTCTTCTCTCGCACCTGCAGTTCGTCTTCTTTCTTATTCAGTTCCGCCGCATGCTGATGACAGTTGATTTAGAGTGCTATACGTGACCACGATGTGCATCGCAATTTACCCCATCGCCATGAGGTGCAGAGGCTTCTACCTCCATTCGCTTTGAACAACTTACGCACCCGAAATGCTTCTCGGTGTCCGGGCGATAAATGTATGCGAGAAGAGATCGCTGGTGATATACGAAGAGCTCCGGGCGGACGACGAAATAGACATCGTCCACTGGAACCGTCCCTCGGAGTCTCGCGTCCCGATCTGGAGAACGTACTACCTCATGCGCCACGTGCAGAGGCAGCTATCTTCTGGTATTGCACACTGTCCATGAACGTCTCGAAGTACTCAACTTCCATTGCACAGATGCGTGGTGGCTGGCCATTTCGCTACTGTTGCCCTGCATCATCGAGCGTGAAAACCTGACGGACCCCAGCAAGATCTCTTAGTACTCCAACATCTTCGCACTCCGTGCGTTGTCACACCATTCGATCCATAGACGACCAGGCTGTTTACCGGAAATCAGTCTTCGAGGTCGTATCTTGATATCCCACTGTCGGTCTATCGTTAGGAATACCTGGGGTGAGCGCGGGCTGACCATGCTGACATATGCTCCCCTACAGATCAGCTATTCGCTCTCTGGCGAGATGCATACGCTCTCTAAGCTCGTCAGTTGCGTAATCATGCTCCTGGTCTGCCCGTCGCCCTCGACTGAGCCGTGCCCATGCCGGGCGAATTTCGGGCAGCACCCCCCCCCGTACGCTCCTCTCAACGGTGTCCTTCGAGAGAGGGGCCCAGGAGTGCCTCACGATAGCGAGCCAGATGACGAGCCTCAGCCCCTGCATAATCCTGATTAGTTAGCGACAAGCTGGTGATCATCGAACTACAGTAGAGAATAGGTCAGTATGCTGTCCAGGACTGTTGCCTGACTGACATTGACCCCGAAGGGCTTTTCCGTGGTGCTTCAATGCAGCTCAGGCCTCCAAGCCCGGTTAGAGGAACCAGCATGGGCCAGCCGATGTGCGACCTTTTGGTGTCAGAAGCAGTGTTTTCAAAGTCCACAGATACCTTGCAATGCTTGCCCAAAGTTCCGTATGTGGTGCTCAAGCTGGCTATCGACAAGACTTCACGGTTCTTTTCCTATCTGGTGGGTGTATGCGCCCTGTCCACCACTGCGTAAGCCCATGCATTACGGCCTGCATGCGCGCAGACGGGAACTTCCTTCTAGAGGCCCACAGAACTCGATCTGCAGGGGAACATCACGAACGTTTTTTCGTGAAGGGCGTGAGTATACCGTCTGATCGCTGTGACTCAATGCTTCGTCTGTGCAATCACGATACAAGACAGAAATTTGAGGAAGACTCATGGGCGCGGGAACGTTGGGTTTCCAGTATGGTGGCACCGCGGTCAAGCCGTGTATGGCGTCGCGGTATGCAACACGATTTTTGGCAAACATCTGAGACCTGTAAGCGGAAATTCTCGGGAAATTGTGTAAAGCACAAAGTTTGACGCGTAAGTGAGCCGATACACTGTGGCGCCATACACGGCTTGACCACGGTGCAACCATACTGGAAAACTGACGTTCTGGCTACGTCTTACAACTACGAACCGCAATATATACATGATTCATAGTCTCCTTCAGAGAGAATTTGTCTGTCGGCCCTTAGTGGTTCGGCACTGACCCTATCAGTACAGGCGTTGTGCCTTGTGCTGGCGGTGTATGTATGTGTTGGCGTCTATATTACCTAATCTGTCCAAGACTCGGAGCCCCGCGCTACCCCGCTTATGTCCGGGTGATCATGCATCCTTGCGTTCCCAGTGCCTGATGACTATCTTTTGACTTCTCGTGACCTCCACCATCTACTCACCATCAGATCGGAATACACAAGTCTGTCTACAATTAGACACTTCAATGAACAGCGGAGAAACGTGACCACTTGCGGTACCTACCCCTCGGAGTCGTGGAGGGGCACCGTGAAGATGAATAACTATGCGACTTGGCTGCGAGGTCAGTCAGGGCCGACCGACGATCATCTACCTGCATCCTCTCCACCCAGAAAATCGTTGAGGCAAGTTCCTCTGCCGTCTCACTTGCGCAATGCTGTTTCGGCCATCGTCCCTTCTGCCGGTGGCCCTCGTCACCGGGGCTGCGCTCGCCGGTCATCACGTCAAGAGCACAACTCCTCCCATCGTCCAGCTGGACCGCGGGTCCTTTGTGGGCACCTCTGACGGTACAGTGGACTCGTTCTTGGGTATCCCGTTTGCAAAACCGCCGTACGTTGCTCTTCTTCGCATTGCTTCCTAGTTGTGCTGACTGGGCGGCTTCCTCTGGTAGTGTTGGCGACCTTCGGTTCCGCCTCCCCGTACCAAATGACCCGTACAACACGACACGCAACGCGACGGCGTTCGGCCCGGCGTGTCCACAGCAAAACGCGGTTTCCGAGGCGAACTTCTTGGTGTTGCCTCCTGAGACAGTGCAGTTTATCTTGACCAACTACACGAAGGATGTTGGCTCGGGCGATGAAGATTGTATGGGCATCCTTTTATGCTGTACAATTGAGGAGTCTGAATCGCTGACCGTGCTCCCGACATCAAGGCCTTACTGTCAATGTCATCACACCAACGGGGACGAAGCCAAATGCCAATCTACCCGTCGCTGTGGTGCGTGTTCAGACCTGTTCACCATTTAGCGAGCAATAGCTGAATGTCTTTGTGTCACAGTGGATCTACGGAGGTCTGTCCGACTAGAGACTCACACGCTCCTTCCGGCTGACTATTTGTGTTACGAAGGTGGCTTCGAGACCGGCGGTACCAGTGGGTAGGTAGCAGCCTTGCGTCCTGGAACGAGGAATCGCGATCTGATCTGAACTAGGTACGACGGGACTCCAATTGTGAAGAGGTCCATCGAACTCGGGGAGCCCGTAATATATGTTAGCTTGAACTACCGGTAAGTCGTCATCGCCTATATGAGACGTGCCTTATTTACATCAATTCAAGCCTGAACGGTTTTGGCTTCCTCGCGAGCAAGGAGGTGAAGGAAGCCGGCGTCGGAAACCTTGGCATGCAAGACCGTGAGTTGGCCTCCTTCCCTGGTTATTACTCATCGCATCTGACTCAAACACGCAGAACGTCAGGCATTACGATGGGTACATAAGTATATCTCCGCTTTCGGTGGAGACCCTAAGAAAGTCACAATGTACGTCCTGCTGTTACCCAACATGAAGGAGCGTTCTGCTCACCGGATTCGGACGCCTTCGTGTAGATGGGGCGAAAGCGCGGGAGGCATCTCTGTTGCTTTGCATCTGGTCACCAACGGCGGTAACACTGAAGGTCTGTTCCGCGCGGCGTTTATGCAGTCGGGTTCGCCGATCCCGATCGGAGACATCACCGAGGGTCAGATAGTATACGACCAACTGGTAGAGGTGACGTTGTGTTCCGGAGCTGCCGATACTCTGCAGTGTCTGCGCGAAGTTCCGTACGAGGTGCTCAAGGCTGCTATCGACAACACCCCAGGGTTGTTCTCCTACCAGGTAAGCACAGGTACGACTTTGGCTGATCAGCACTGACTTGGGGGATCATACCGCAGCCTGCCCTGAACGAGGTTTGGATTCCCCGAGCGGACGGCAAGTTCCTCGTTGATACCCCGCAAAGGCTCGTTCTGCAAGGGAGCGTTGCGAAGGTTCCTTTCGTGACGGGCGTAAGTAGGACGGCCGACGCACTTTGGAATGCTGCGTGCTTAACTGACTTCTCGCTTAGGACTGCGATGACGAGGGGACCCTATTTTCTCTCACAACGCTCAATGTCACGTACGTGGCAGATAGGGCCGGGCGTATTGTCAGGAACAAAGAAGCGGCTGACACGTACTCTGTCTAGCACCGAAGCTCAGTTGGCAACTTACCTACAGCAAACATACTTCCCTCGTATATCGCAGAGCGACCTGTCCAAACTGCTCCAGTACTACCCTGCGGACGTTACCCAGGGCTCCCCCTTCGATACCGGCACCGCTAACGCCGTGACGCCCGAGTTCAAGAGGCACGCGGCGATCATCGGAGACCTCGTCTTCCAGGCACCCCGCAGGTTGCTCCTGCAGGAAGCCGCGTCGAGGCAGAACACTTGGGTTTTCCGTACGTCGATTCACTCCTTCCGCCGTCCGTGGCGTGACTGACATCTCGACTTGGACGACGATGAATCAGTCTTCAAGCGCTTCAAGTCGTTGGGCGTCCTTGGGGCATTCCACGGCACGGACGTCATCGACATCTACGGGGGCTCGAACCTGACGAGCCATTTGGTGCATTTTGTCCACCATCTTAACCCGAACGGTGCGGGCGCCCCTGCGTGGCCGCAGTTCTCGCTGCAATCGCGGCAGCTGCTCACGCTCCTCGATGGCGACACTCCGGAGACGGTCGGGCAGGACAACTATCGCGCAGAGGGCATGGCGTTGCTGACCAAGGTCCTCCTGGAGACCCCGCTTTAGTTCTTGAATGCGCGCGGTGATAAATTTGTTGGCTTGTTGGCTTCGGACACGGACTAGTGATAATACATTAGCGCATGGCACGATGATGTGGGAACGGTGCCCCCTGTTATTGATAATCGAATGACATCTTCCTGCGCCGTGGGTTTGACAGAGTGCCCAATCATCAAGCCCGTTAATGACCTCGATCTGAATGGCAATAGCGTCCTTGTATGAGCGCTATTCGCACTGGATTCGAAGGGTGTGTTGGGTCTCTCAGATGGCAAACCTCAACGACCATGAAAGAGGGCACCGCGCGCGGTCATCTACGTTAAGCGTCCGAACCTACTGGCTAGGTTCGCCATGTTAGAAATGCCCTGCCATGGGACTTGTGCTGCTGCAGTGCGTTCAGGTTCACAATCCTTCGTTACTCGGGCTTTCGTTGGTAACATAGCTTTCCCCATTCTTGTCACTCGTTCTACCAGCCACTGCTTCACAGCGAATCGACGTATATTCACTCTCCTCCATATTCACAAGGTTATCAATTATTTCGAAACTTCATCTTCACCCTCGTCACGATGCTCCTCATCCGCTGTCCAATCTCCCTCTTTCCCACCACTGCCTCACTATCCTCCGGCGTCGCCACGACGGCACTGCTCTTCGACGTCTGCCCACTGCTTGCACGCGAACAGACACCACCAACCCCCAGACCCTCGTTCCTCCCTCCCGCAGACATATAGGGGCTGAGGCCGAGGCTTAGACCGGCTGAGCAATCCTGCGCGCGTTGCTCCAACATCGGTGGTTTGGTTCGCGATGCACGCAGGATATCAATCTCGGCTAACAGCGTCGACCTCATCATCTCAGCGATGGTTTCGCCCCTCTTGCTCGGACCGTGGTTCGTATACGGGCTCGGACCAGCATGAGCGCCCTGTGTTGGCTTGTGCCCAGTCAGCCCGTCGTCCCTCGGGCACGCAGCGGCGCGGCCGTCTTCGGGCATATCCTGGGTCAGGTCGTCATTGCCTCCGTCTGCCTCATTGCAGAAGAACGAGTCGAGCTCGGCGATCGCACGTCGCACGTCGGCCAGACGCATGCGGATGCGCGGGTTGGCACGGAGCATCCGCCGGATGATTTTGTTCAGGCCCGGGGAGATCTGATAGCGCTCGATGAGGTAGCGCGGGTTGTGCACGAACTCCGCGTATTTGCGCGTCGACGAAGATGCCCTCGACCATGGCGCGATGCCGATGATCATATTGAGAAGAACGATCCCGAGGGCCCAGACGTCGCTGTGCGCCGCGCTGGGGCGTTGGTTATATTTAGAATGGAGGAGTTCTGCACGCGATATGAGTATATTGGTCGTCGATAGGAGAAGGGATGCAAAGAGACCCACCTGGTGGCATGTACGCCCGCGTACCGCACCTTTCGTTGTAAGATTCGATCCGACTCGCCATCCCGAAGTCGGCGAGGAACACCTGCCTGCCATCTTCACCGAGCAGGACGTTCCCAGGTTTTATGTCCCGGTGGTAGATGCCGTCCTGATGTAGGTTCAGCACGGCATCAACGATGTCAAGGAACATCGTCCGGAGCATCTGTTCGTCGGTGATAGCGCCCCGATCGACGAGGTGGTCCCCGAGCGAGCCGCCAGGACAAAGGTCCATGATGAGGATGGAATGCTCCCCGTCGTCGAGCGTCCTACGGAGTGTGACGACATTGGGGAACTTCGACGCGCGTGCGTGAAGGCTGATCTCGAGGGGCGTGTGAGAGAAGCCGTTGTGGGTGGGTGTGGTCTTGCTGATGAGCTTCACCGCAACGGAGGGAGAGTGCCTATTCACCCGGGATTTTTTGTCGATGGCCTCGTAGACGACTCCGTAGGCTCCGGAACCAAGCATGCGGGTGAGCTTGTAGCGGCCATCGAGGACGAGGCCCGTAAAGTCGGGGGTCCTGGTTGCAGCGGTAGGACGCATGATTAGAGTCAATTAAAATCAGTGATTGGTAGTTGTGCGTTGCGGTAGGTCCACCGGGGACGAAGTATGAAAGATGAGAGACTTAGCTTCGAGATTCGCCCACCTTTTATACTCCGGGGACAAATGGTTTCATGCTATAGCGCCATGGGCAGAGGCTGGATCTAAAACTCATCAAGTCCCCATCCGAAGTTACGTCCCACTTCCGCAAGATTTGCATTGTAATCGATCCTGATGATGTACTAAGTGGACGACACGTATTCATGCGAAGCATGTGGATACCCGTCACCCTTAGCGGGATTGCACCTGAAATTACGACAAGCGGGACAGCGCGTTATTGACCAAGTGGCCTCATATACTGATTCAGAATCACAGCAGAGCGTTCATAACAACTGACCATAGACAAGAACTCACCCCAGTTTGTGCTGACTCATCGATGATGTCGGTTTACCCAGGCCACGGGTCGCCGAGTCCCCTTCGCAGGCCTCCATTCGCCTTCTGAGCTCCAGGAAGACAAGGTGGTACTGCATATAGTGTGCTACTGCTAGCATTTCGCCCCTGGCCTGAGGAGTATCGAGACGCTGAACCCAAAAGGGATGCGCAATATTGACTCAGCATCGCATTCAAGCCCGAAATAGTCGGAAGCGGATATACAAATAAACCAAACCCTGTACTCTCGTCTCCTGATTAGCAAAAACGCGATAAGGTGTATCCTCGTCGACTAATACTCACCAGAAAGTGTGGATAGCAACGCACTTCGGATCGTTGTCGGTCATGATCGCCGTCGAATGGAAAGACTCAGGGTCATCGCCTCTACTCCATCAACTTGATAAAATCGAATGGGACAATGATACTACAGATGTTACAGCGGAAAGCTAGGTCACGCATGATTACAAGGGGAGCCTGAGGCACGGCAACGAGTTTGACGAGTCAGTGAGGTCCCGACCAGCACGAATCGTCAGTCCAGACCAAAACGGCCGATTCAAGAAGCAGAGAGAGCGTTCCGGCGTTGCGCTGTCTGGACGTGGTGAGCAAAGTTCTCCACTCTTGTAAAAGTGTAGCCTACGTGAGCATCTGACCGTACGTGCGTCGTCAGCAATCGACGTCAGCACATGCAGGCGCGCTATGGGCGCCTATACAGCCACGGTAGAAGATTCCCACGTGTGATATTCGATGATGTTCTTCCAACCTACAGCGTCAACTTCGTGTGTGCGGCATAGTGTAGGGCGAAGAACTTTCAGGTTCTTCGCAAGTGCGATATTCGCAGGTTAACAACGTTGTTGACAACATGCGAATAACCTAGCCTAGTTATTCGCTCTGCGATTATCTGAAGCCCTTATGTAAGCGCCTTGCAGCAGATGCGAGATCGTCAAGGGCGCTTATAATCGCTGAGAGGGATGGATGGGTAGTGATGTATAGTGTAGTGCAAGGTAGGCTCTCGAACTTCTCAGCTATCATATTCCCCACCCCTGACAGACCTGGTAATGCTGCCGCTGTCAGGATCCTTTCGCGTGAAGATCTGTCGGCTCGCCTGACTCGCGGCCAAGTACAAACTCACTTGGAGGCTCTTCCCACCTCTCTGCCAGATAATGTCTACGATTTTGGCGCACTCACTCTCCTGGTCGGAAATACCAGTCATGCCTCCTGAGCCTGCTTCTCATCCCAACGGAAAGGGGAAGAGAGTTGCGGCGCACAAAGGAGGTGCGACAAGAGTCCTCCAGGAGGCCGACTGAACGATGGGCACCGGGAGATGAGTTGGTTGTATTATATGATAAGCGCTTATGCTATCAACTCTGCGAATAACTCCCACTCCCCGTCCTAGTTGGTTGATAACGCTGCGAAGATCTCGTCTGGAGTTCTTCGCCCAACACTAGTGCGGCAGTACAAGTCCAGCATGGCAGAACATTCTTAGACCAATCTCTTCATTTGATATTCGAACTGGATGCGAAGCGGAAGAGCATGTACCAACTCGGTGTGCTAGGGATTGGAAAGGGGGAATTCCTAATATGGCTCCGGTAAGCATACCTCCACGAGAACATACATACCCGATGAATCAGCCCCCGTCCGAAACATTTATGCGCTCGAGGAGGCATCTCGCATGGTGGCGGTACGCTCCGCATGCTGCCATCTCGCAACCTGAACCATATGTAGTTGACATTGAACGTTGTCCCAAGTAGTCTCTCCCCTTCCGGCATCTGCATCAGCACCCGTCGTCTGGGCAATCTGGAGGTGGAGAAAGCGTCGATCGATGAAGAGTGCAGTCAAAGAGCAGTCCTCGCTGAACATATCCTCTATGGAGAGTGTGGAAAGTGAATGGTTCAGGGTAGGATATTCGGAGAGGATGGATGTGTTGCGTAAGTCGATTTTTACACGGGCAAGTTTCAGTATCTGGAGTCTAGGGAAGCTTGTCGCCAATAGAACAAGGGAGGATGGAGTAAGGTAGGGAGCCGTTCCTTCCTCACTCTGCGATGGGGTCCAGAAATCGCAGAATGACAATTCTGTTAGGTTCGGCCAGACACTTGCAGCCATTCGGATGTCCGTGTCACTCACGGTGAGCAACAGGCATAGAGCGATTACACCAAGTGACTGGAGATTGTGCAAGCGGAAGAGTGGTCCGAGCGCGCTGGAGAACGACTGAGATTCGGGGCCAGGTACAGCTTGTCTCGCCGCGTCCAAAGCACGAATACGCAATTGCAAGACTTCCATGGAGGGAAAGCAACGCGCCCATACGGCGCAGCTGTCTCGAAGATTCCGGATGTCGGCTGTGAAATAGCCATAGATTCTCAAACGTTGAAGGACTGGCCCAATAAGGAGAGAACAGAAGCGATTGTCGGCGGGATGCCTTGCGATATGCAGCGTCCGTAAAGAGCTGAACTCGATGGCGGTCTGAGTGGAAAAGTCCTGGATGGACCCTTGGATGGAGGTCAGATATAGTTCTGCGAGATTGGGCAGCTGAGAAAGGGCATGCAGGTCCGCAATGTCCACTTTACCGACTGTGAACACGCGTAAAGATTGTAGCTTCGACACGGATAGACATAGTGAGGAGGGCTCCATATTGGAATTGAGAGTGAGCTGCGAGATATGAATGGCGTTCGAAGAAATGAGGTGAAGAGTCGATCGTATGCATGACTGCCATTCCCGTCGCGAGTCGTCGCTCAAGCCAGACCGACGGAGGGAACTTGAGGAGATGGTCAACGACTCAATGGACGGGGATAGGAGACTCAATATGCTTGTCGATTGGGGTGATTCGATCGTCCAGGAAAGCCTGCGTACGTGCGGCAACAAGGGTGTCCCTCCGCAGAGTACACCTAAGTACACCCACGTCGAGGGAGCGATGGACCTTGACTCGGGCGACCAGTAAAACCCAGCGTCGTTCAATGATTGAACAAACTCCGCATGTATGCGGAATCGTTGCCATTCGTTGGGAAGAATAGCCCCATCGATCATCTGGTCAAACAGCATACAAATATGTGAGACAAGGCACCTCCAACGGAATGCGGCTACTCACGGATAGGTCGCTTGTAGACCCTTGCTCTTCGCCGATAGTTCCGACTCTCACAAAAGCGGATAACAGATGCAGGAGGGGGAACATGCTCGGAAGGCTCCGCCATATGGCCCGTAGCGCTGGCCGATGGAACGGCTTGCACACTCTTGCGAGATCGACCAATGTGTTCTTCAGCTTAGCCGGTTCTGCGCAAGGCAAGGCCCACAGAGGCCCCAGTGCGGCAGGGTCGAGGTTATCGAATATTATAGGAAGTATGTCCTCGTTGAGCCAAAATTTGTCACTCGAGACCATGGTGGTGGGTCGAAGGTGAGTTCGCAGCTTCCGGCTACCGCAGCAGCCGCCCTACATTGGTGCATACAACGGTTCGCGACTGTTATGGTAACTCATCTTGAGCTGACTACTGTTTGAACGATAGCAACGGAGGTCGGAATGATGTCCGCTCGATTTGTAGATTGGTAACTCCTCTCAAGACATCGATCGTACTGAACGAGCGTCTCACATAGGCTACTGAGAGGCCAAAGTAAACCTTATATCACGAGTCTAGATTACACTGGCCCGGCCGCAGCGCACACCACATCGGTTGCAACTGAATGGCTTTTACGCCCCTCTGCCTCATCCGGAACGCAACATCGTGCAGACGAGGGAGTGCCTCAGAGCCGTTGCCCCCCGGCCCGGTCCAAAACACCTCGGCAGAGGCGGCGGCGCGCGGCCAGACGATAGGATCGAGGTTCTCTGGGCCGGATTGCTCTGTCCAGAGGGCTTGCTCGCCTGTGTAATGTTGATTCTAGGCTCGAATGAGACGTTGACGCTGAGTCGAAATACGTACCGCCGAGCACCAGATGGGCCTGGGAGGCTGAAATGTTCGCTTGGGGATCGAAGGTGTATGCCTGGGAGGACGTCGGATCGGTATCGGAGCCAGCGACAAAACCGTCAAGCGTGCTAGCATACCTTCTGCCATGTCTTGAAGGGATCACACCAACTATTACTGTACGACGGTAGTCAGAAGCACCGCCTCGAAGGCGAGTGGGGTGAGATCTACGTACGCCACATCGTCTCCGATCCACTCTCCTGCGCCGCAATCCAGATAGAAGTAGTCGGACGGGGCGTGAACAAGACGGAAGTTCTTCTCCGCGACTGCCGCAGCGTTCATGGACGAGATCCAAACTCTGTTCCAACGTCAGATCCTTGTGCAATAACTCAATCCCTCGAAGACAACTCACAGGACAACTGTCTCGTTTGAGAGCGTGACATTGTGATCCAATACCATCTCTGTAAAAATGCCCAGGGCTAGTTAAGAAACTCGTCCAAAGCCTGGCAATATGGCACGCACCTTCCCATACGGCAGGCGTCTTCCCTGCCGCCTTCAACGCCCCGTGCGTCGTCTGCGTGAAGACACTTAGTGCCTGCTCGAGCGTCCGTCCAGTCGAGGTCAGGTCCGCCTGGGTTTCCGAGTCCTGTGCGTAGCACTCCGTGTTCAGCTCATCGCCTCCGGTGCTCAAGACCGTCGATGGAAACATCTTGGCGACAGCGGTGAACATCTTGGCGGTGAAATTAGCCACCGTGGCCGATGCGAGACGAAGCTGGCCGGCGGGAGGTTCTGCGTTTGATGATACGTCAGCCTTTGTGTGACCATACTGAAAAGCAAGGGGAGAGGAGGGTAATGACCGTTCGCGAAGGTGGTCCATGGAGAGGCCTCGGCGCACGCAACGTACTCGGGGTGCGCGGCCCCGATGATAGCGGTGTGGCCGGGTGTATCAATTTCCTTCAGAGATACGACTTAGCTTTACTCTTGTGGCACTATGGGAGCATACACGTACCACCATGACGTCAATGCCACGCTGGATACCAACCAAGAGGGTGTGAGCTCGAGCAAAGTCAGGATCAAATGGTAGCATCTCACGGCGCCAGCGTAGTCGACAATGTCCTGAACGTCGCTTGGGGAGTACACCATGCTGGGGTCGTACGCGCCTGCATTCGCGAGCTCGGTGAACCCAGGGATGACCAGCGGGAAACTTTGGCTGTCGGTAACATGCCAGTGGAATTGGCTCATCTATGCAACATTCAGCACAGAGACAGGACTTCCAAAGAAGACGCCACACCTTGACCAGACTCATGGCGTCAAGCGTACGCATGATATCCGCAACAGGGAAGCTGTAGATGTAGGCGCTTGAGTCTCTCGGACCGAGAGTGAGACCTTGCACATGCACTCACAAATTCCGCGAAGTGTCCAGCATGAGGCCTCGCCAGGGCTGAACGCGCATACCATCGGCTTCATCCACTCGGATACTGTGAAGAAACACTCACGTATGCAGGCGCATCGGTGATAGAAATGGGTGCCTCTACGGTGTAGATCTGACCCGACCATTCGTAGAAAAGCTGCGAGAAAGTCGTGAGGCCACGAAGCAGCCCGAGCGTCGAGTTCGCAGTAAGCGTAGCCGTCGAACCGTCCGCAGGGATGTCCAATATGTACTCCTCGCTCCGAGTTCCGAGCGCCAACCTCGACTCCTCTGTGATGCTCCGCACGGTCGCGCCCTTGGAGAGCGAGAGCTGAAGTGTTTTGAGCGACTTCGCCGTCTTGAGGGCGCTGCTGTCCGAAGACCCACGACCGACGACGAGCCGTCCAAGCTTGTCGTTCTGCAAGAAAGACTTGGTGCGCGATACGGCGTCCGACAGGTCCGAAGGCGGGTGCTGCACGCTGACATGGATGTCGAAGTCTGAGGCGAGCTTCAATGCAGTCGAACCAGTCTCCAAGGAGCGGGGCTGGGGCCAGAGACCGAAGACACCAGCCGCAGGTGCGAGCGCGAGCAAGAGGGAGAGGAACCTCATCTTGACAGTGAAGGCGACCAAATGGAAGCTCGAGGCGAACGATGCACGGCCTCAGCAGATATATAGAATACCATGCTTCGCTGATGGGCAGGGAGGGTCAGTCGGCTCGAGACTCTTTGGTTCGCAGAAGCCCGCCGCCCACCTGACCGCCGAGGCGATAGCCTCCACTTCCTCCCAAAAATACCATCGAACGCCTGGCCAAGGAGGATGTCACGTACATATGGTCGATGGGCTTCAAGGAACATCTCCGCGTGGGCCTTGCTGTCAGAAGTATGCGTAGATAACGGAATGGGCGGCCGGCTCGAAGCTCAAATGGACGCGACGTCGTTATCGACGATACGGAATGAGCATTCGCCCGGCATATCTTCGAGTAGTGTGAGACGACGAAGGGGGGATTAAAGAGTTGGTATCAAAGCCGATTGTGGGCAGGATGGCTGCTGGAGACGGAGACATCGAGCTCAACGCATCCATTGATCCAAGGGAGCACCTAGTGAGACAGGCGCCCATATATGAAGTACGCTCTCGGCTGTAGACCACCGCGCTCAGCTCGCTACAGGGACGTTCTGAGATCCTGGTCCATTGCCATGCCGCCACACTTCCTCACAAGCAACTTCCGCGTCGCCTTTGAGGAGTATTTTAAGCCCGACCAGCAACGCGCCTCCGTCGACAACCTCATCGCATACATCGAGGAGGTGCGCGGCATGTCCGAGGAGCGGCGGCGCGACCTCGACATCCTCCGGCCCCAGGACACGACCCAAGAGCAGATCGACGCGCGCATCGCCGCGTACCTCGACAAGTGCTACTGGCAGCTGGCGCAGTTCTACAGGGTGAGTGCCCCGCACCGACCTCGGGCTCCCGCGTGTCCCTCACACCGCATGCACGCACGCACGTAGAGAGCGAAGGGCGTCTGACTTGGAAACTTGCACAGTACTCTGTCCCGTGCCGCATCGCAGAGGCCGAGCCGAGCCTGCGCGAGGTCGTCCGGTACGCGCAGACCAAGGGCGGGAAGAAGGACGTCGCGCCCGAGCTCTTCCTCGCCGTCGCGATCCACAAGGTCCCGGGCAAGGAAGAAGAGGCGAACGCGCTCTTCTCGTCTGCCTTCGCTCACTTCGACGAGCACGGGCAGCCCGGGCTTGGGCCGCGGTCGGAGCTGTGGGCACGGGCTGCTTGGGCACGACTGCTGAGGCGGACGGGAAAGGTGCGCGAGGCAGAGGCGCAGGAGCAAACTATCGTGTGGGTATTCCTGCTCTGTTCTGTTTACTTTCCCCCGTTCCTGATCGACCTCCGATTTTCTTAGTGATTGGATCGTGTCACACCCAGCGGTATTGACCCCGGCGAAGCTCAGCGTCCTCGTCAAGGATGACGGAGACGAGGGCGTCCTCGGTAACATCGGCGAGTATCCGGAGGTAAAGCTCGCAATTGAGAAGGCCCGCCAACGTGGTAGGAGCACCGAAGATTGATGCCAGAGATCGTGTGTATGTGCACATTGCCTTCCCTGTGCGACGCTGCTTCGTGTGGATTGGATGGATAGTATACCCCGCTGTTCCTTTGGCTCACCCAATGGCCCACCTCTGTGCGAATCACGTCGGGACCTTGTTAAGTGACCTCGCTACTATCACAACGGCACTGCCCACAACTACAGAAATCGATGAGGCGCTACATATGTCTTTCCAGCGAGGGTGAGCAGTCAACGACACCAATTTGGCCAGCATGACTGAACAAAACAAGCACTGCTTCCCAACGATGAAGTGAGAAGGAATGGCAACGCCATTACCATGTTCATTATGAAACAGGTAGTTCGGGTACAAGCTTCGAGTAGTGTAAGGACAGGCTCAGTTGTTCACTTTTTTTTACGAGCGCTCACGCAGTAAGATCGCAAGCCCCCGGGCGCAGCGCACACCACTCGGGCTGGAGCGAGATCGTCTTCACGCCACGGGTACGGAACCGGTACGACACGTCGTGCAGACGCGGGAGCGCCGTGCTGATGTTGCCCCCGGGCCCGGTCCAGAAGAGCTCTGCGGATGACGCGGCGCGGGGCCAGATGGTGTCGTCGAGGTTCTCGGGGCCGGATTGCTCCGCCCACAGGAGGTGCTGGCCGCCCAGGATGAGCGCGGCCTCGTCGGTGGTGAGGTTCGCGGTGGGGTTGAAGGAGTAGGAGAGCTGCCAGGACTTGAAAGGGTCGCACCAGGAGTTGCCGGTAGGGAAGTCGCCGACCCAGGCGCCGTGGCCGCAGTCCTGCGAAAGGGGGGACCGTGGTATTAGACTCTTGATGACGATGGTGGGAATCAGTAACAGAGACGTACGAGGTAGAAGTAGTCCGAGGCGGCGTGGATGATCTTGAAGCCCTTCTCCGCAACAGCCTTTACATTTTCAGACGAGATCCAAACAAGGACCGGGCTCTCCTTGCTAATCGTGACATTGTGAACGAGGACCATCTCTGCAAATCGTTGAGAATTTGCAAAGTAGGATCCTGGTGGAAGCGACTCACCCTCCCAGACCGCGGGAGTCTTCCCCTTGACCTCGAGTGCCTTGTGGGTGACCTGGGTGAACTGATCGAGCGCCTGCTCGAGCGTGCTGCCGGTCGCGTTGAGGGCAGCCTGGGTAGGCTCATCGATATCGTAGCAGGCCGTGTTCAGCTCGTCGCCTCCCGTGCTAAACAGCGTCGAGGGGAACAACTCCGACGCCGCGGTGAAGAGGTCGGCGATATAGTTGGTCACTGTCGAGTTGGCCAAGCGTAGCTGACCGGCAGGAGGCTCTGAATCACATCAACATAAGTCGCCACAAGGATACTTTCCGGATACATACCGTTGGCGTAGGTCCCCCAGGGAGTCGCGCCAGGACAAGCAACGAAATCGGGGTGTGCCTCCGCAATGATCGCAGTGTGCCCAGGCGTGTCGATCTCGACCATCACATCGATTCCACGCTGTACACCAAGGCAATGCATCAGCGATTTCGAATATCATAATCAAAAAAAGGTCTGCGCAACGGCAGTCTGAGATACGGTGATAGCGGATGCAGGACTTACTGCGCCAGCGTATGCAACGATGTCCTGCACATCACTGGGGCTGTACACCTGGGATGATGAGTACGCGCCCTTCGCGGCGAGGTCGGTGAACCCGGGGATCTCGAGAGGGAAGGACTGGCTGTCGACGACGTGCCAGTGGAACTGGTTCAGCTTGACCCAGCTCATGGCGTCAAGTGTGCGCTTAATGTCCGCGACGGGGAAGCTGTCGGCGAATCCTGTCAAGAACTGGCCAAAACAAGTAGACGTATCTGACATACAAGTTCCTCGCCGTATCGAGCATGAATCCGCGGTACGGCTGCGTGCATCATGATCAGCCTCGTCTCTCCTCAAACAACTCGCTCGGAGGACACGCACGTAGGCAGGAGAGTCCTCAATCGTCACAGGCGTTTCAATCGCGTACGTCGTACCATCATACGCGTACCACAGCTGGCCGAACGTCGTCAAACCCCTCAGCAAACCCAGCGTGGAGTTCGCCGTCAGCGTAGCCGCCGAGCCGTCCGCGGGCACGGTCAGGTGGTACGCCTCGTCCCGATCAGCGGGGGCCTTTTGCGCCTCGCTCGTGATGGGCTTCCACGCTGCCCCCTTCTCGAGCGAGACAGTGAGCTTCGAGAGCGTCTTCGCCTGGGCGAACGACTTCGCGTCGCTCGCCCCGCGCCCGACGACGAGGCGGGCCAGCTTGTCCTTGGCGAGGTACGACTGGGTGCGCCCGACGGCGGCCTGGACGTCGGAGGGGACGCCGTGGCCAGAGACGATGATCTGGAAGTTAGGCGCGAGGCGAAGCGTGTTGTTTCCGGTGTTGATCGTCCGAGGTTGGGGCCAGAGGGCGGCCACGGGCGAGTACACTGCGGCGAAGAGAGAGACGAGCGCGAGAAGTTTCATGGCGAAGAAAGTCTGGCCCGATAGGAAGGAGAAAGAAAGGAGGGCGGGGGCCTAGATGACTTGAGCTCGAGCTCGTAGAAGCCGGAGTGGATGAGGAGAGCCTCCTTCGCTGACGCGGTGGTATATGTACTCTGGGAGCAGGCCCGTCTTGCACATGCGGTACGGGAAATGTTCCGTTGATATGGCCACGCTTCCTCGAAATGGGCTCGTTAGCGAACTGGTTGACAGGAAACCGGGTCTGATGCAAAATGCAAAGTGTATCGGCCTCATGATCCCCGTGGCGAGGCCCCCATCAGGAGCCGGCTGCGCTCCCCCGTGTGGGTCAGTTTGCAAGGTACAGACGTCGAAAGCAAGCAGGATATACATGCATGAGGAGGTAAGATGATAAGGCGATCGTATGGCTGGGGGAGAAAGAAAGCGCACAAGGCCCGCATGCACAGATATGCTATATCATACGCCGCAACGAGCGCCTCACGTCACCAAAAGGAACGCACCAGCTTACAGTACGTACATATCCCGAGATACCAGAGGAAGCCGAAACGGCTTCAAACAAAATCACCCGAAGCAGTTCCTGGCACTTCGCACTAACCTCCTGAGCAATGCGGCAACACGACATTCATATTATCTCGACCAAAAGTCCCCCCGCCGCACATTCCAGAACAACTTGTTATAGCGTAGGGCCATCCGGGCATTGCTGGTCATGGTGACCTCGGTTGCATTTTGATTTTGTTTGAGTGCCCTCCGAGATTGATTCAAATATATTGATGGTGTAATTCCATCGGCCAGCGCGCGCCCTCAACGCGCCTTCCTATACATATGAACCTTGTAACCTTGTTCCTCAACAGGCTGTGGTCGGGCTCCGCCCTCCCTTCGGCCGCTTAGCTCAGAACTCTGTTCCTCTGGGACTCACGTGTTCCATACTGATGTACCTGGAGACATTAAACCACGCGAGCTAGCATCCCACCAACCCTACAAACGTACTCACTTCACGCGATCAGTAATAATTGAGATAGTTAGAGCCGTGCACATGAACGAATCATATAACACCTCTATCACCAAACACAAAGCAAACAAATCCCTAAGTTATGTTATCCCCAGACCACCCCGACCAAAGCCCCACACACACACGACGTCGCTCAGAACAGCAAGTCGTCCAGCCCGTTCGCAGACTGGGACGAAGCAGGCGGAGCCGCGCTCGCGCTCGCGCCCCCAAACGCCCCGAACCCAGCGGCCGCCGGAGGCTTGCTCTGCCCCGCGCCCCAAAAGGTCGCCTGCGCCTTCTCCTTCTCCAGATCCTTCATGCTCTTCTGCGGCGCAGCGGGCGCGTTGGGCTTGCTGGCCGCGGACGAGCTGAGCGACAGGTTCCAGAGGTCGTCGAAGCTGGCCGCCGGCTTCTGCTGCTGCGGGGCCCCACCTCCAAACCCGGGAGACGTCGTCGTCGCACGTGGAGGAGGCGAGGTGGGCTGGAGTGGTCTGTTGGGGATCAGGGGGGCCCCACCCAACGGAGGAGGTGAGGCCACTAACGGCCGCATCATGTTCTGCGTCGGGACGGCAGGCGGGGACGTATATGGTGTCCGGGCGGCGCCCGCGGGAGCCCCGGTGGAGAGCAGGTTGAATAGGTTGTTCGCATTCTGGGCGGGGACCTGCGTCTGGGTCGCAGGTGGGGAAAGCGGTTGCGCCGAGAGCGGTAGAGGGAGCGCCGTGGGTGCTGCAGCAGGGACAGTGTTGAAGAAAGCGTTATTGGTAGGGGCAGCGGAGGGGGGCGCGCTCTGGAAGTCGTCGAAGTCATCGTCGCCGCCGCCTTGCAGAGGCTGCGAACCGGTCGGAGGGAGCGCTTTCTCAGGAGGTGCCGAAACGGTACTTCCGAAGGCATCGTCGTCCATGCCCAAGAGGTCGATCACGGGCTGCGCCTTCGGTGGCTCGATAGGGGCGGGGGGAAGCGTTGAAGAACGTTGAGGCGTCGAAGCATGAACTGAAGAACTGGTGCCTGCCACGGAGTTCGATCGACGGGGAACGACGTCGTCGTCTCCGGCGTCGTACTCTTGGAAGCCCCTGCGCGCGTTCGAGCCAGAACTTCCGTATGTTCTGCTCTCGCCGGCGTCGTAGCGGTCATAATCTGCAAAATATTCGAACTCACGTCCAAAACGTCTCCAGAACGTACTCACCACGATCGCCACCGCTATAGCTGCTGCCTCCGCCCCCACTGTAGCTTCCCCCGCTGTAAAAGCTGTCGCTACCAAAGCCACCGTAGCGTCCACCTCCGGAATTGAAGCTCAAGGCATCATTCCCGACCCCTGTGTACTTGTGCTTGTTTGCCTTCGCCTTTCGGCGCTCAGTGCGGATCTTCTCGACGTCGCCCAATAGGTCTACGAGTTCCTTTGACCGGTTGCGTACTAACGACGATAGTTAGCCTCAAGGATAGATATGATGTGACAGCAGTTTGCATGTCGACAAGCCTTCCCATTGAGAACAGGTTCCGCTCGGATATCTCAGTAGGCCGAACTTGTTCTTGTGCATTCTGCTGATATGCAAACCGCTGGGATATACTGACGCACCATTAATACCCTGATCCTTGCCCTTCTCGTCAACATAGTAAAAGTTCCTGAGCATCTTGATGGTGCCAATATGGGAACGCGCATCGTCGACGACGCGCTCGCTACCGTTTTTGATCAAATATTCGAGCAGTTGCAGCGCCTGCAGAGACAAGGTGAATCTGCAGCAAGGGCTAAGAGGAGGTACCAAACCTACTTTGTAGATCTGTCGCCACTGGCGTGCTTCCTTTTCCATAAACCGTGAATAGATAGCAGGCATAATCTCGTTGAAGTTTTGGCTGTACGGCTTTGAGTTAAGTGCACACTTGGAGAACAACGAGCCAACTCACAAATTGAATGTTCTGAGAGCGCGCACAACACATTGGTAAAACGTTGGCACGGACATTGCGGAGCTGTACATACCCTTGGGCGATCTCTTGCATTAGGGTCGAGCTCGCACCCCTACGCGACTTGAGTCACAATGCCAACCCGCGGAGCGCAAGACACGCACCATGGCTCGTCGTTCGTGGCATCCCTAACCTTGGCCTCCATTTCACTCACGTTGAAGACGACGTTCTTGGCCTGAGAACCGTGAGCGTCGCGCCCGCGTCAAATCGCAGTCTCGACGACTTACCTGGTTGACCATCGACTTGATGTCGTACATAGTGATCTGCGAGAGCGCATTTCCGAGAGACTCGAGGCGGTCCATGGCGGGCAGCGAGCGGGACGGTGGTGGACGTGGACGACGCTGGGGACGGCGCTATCGGTGTGACTGGCGGTGCGGGCGGGAATCTGCGGGAAACAGTCTGTCTGTATGTAATCACTGTGACCGTCTTGTTGCCTCGGGTGGATGATGTCACGCAGACCTCCGGTCCGCGAGAGCCTGATCCTGGCGGCATGCGGGGTTACAAAGTCTCTGCGGGGACGCCGCCGGACGCTGTTGTCGCGTTCGATTCTGACCATCATCCACGTTGTTCTAGTGAATGTCCACCTGCTCATCAGACGGCGAGAGAGCGTGAGCATATGCGTCTGAACGTCGTGCCTATGTCCGAGAGCCCGGCCAGACGCCAATCCGGGAACCCTCCGATCCCGATATGGGATCCTCCTGCAAGACAGGGCGAAAACGCGGTGTGGCACAACCCGGATGACAAGCCTTCTCTCGCCTCGCTGTTCAGCGATATAAGTCCAACTCCCAGCTTATCCACCTCGTTCATGACCTTCACGACCGCGCTTACGACTTCCGCCAAGCAGATTCTCGCTTCCCTTCAGGTGAGTGAACTTCGGTGACGCTGTCGCTTGCTATGCTGGTGGTATCGGCTGTACATACGCCACCATCATGCAATGGTCTCCGTTATGGCGGGTATTGCATGTTAGTGAACAGAAATGGCTGTCTCCATTCTCGTTCACAGGACAGCGGCAATTCGCACACCGCTCAGAGTTGCGTGCAGTCGCACTCGACGACACGGGTGTATGCAACCAAATGAACCTCATTTGCATGTATCGCGAGGAGTATCGGGATAGGTGAAGCGATCAAGTCGTCTCGCGGACTCTGGCACGGGTTTGACCATGTACCTCCAGTGATTCTGTTCACCCCCGTTGCCTCCATCGACGCCGAGTTACATTCCTAGTTCGGCCAACATGGCCCAAGTTTGAAGTCTCCTCGATTTTGTCTCGGGTCCAGGGAGGCCTGCGTGCATCGTGCTGTCACCGTTTCGCGCGAACTTGGTTGGGAGGGAACCGTAATCATGTATGCCGTCGTATATCACGCGTTATCACAGGGAATGGGGATACAGTCACCAAGAATTCCCTCAATGCGTCCCCTATATCGGTCATCAAGGCGCGAACGGCCTTGTCCAAGATCCCTATCGTTCATATCAGCCCCTCCCGTGATATTCACTATGCACACACCATCGTTCATTGCTGTATGCATATATGAACGCTCCTCCATTCATGAGGAGTGTCTCATTTGCATGACATGCTGAAGACCGGAGCATGGGTCTTTCAGGATGTCGAGAAGGTGTGAGCGTGAGACTCGTACCTTGCGCTGCGCAGAGTCGTGAATTGCATGGGTTTGAGAAGGACTGCACTCATCGATCTTCTCATTCCACAGATATGCCTTCTATCTTTGAACGGCTGCGAAAGCGCACTCTAAGTACGCATAGCGCCGCCTCTGCGCATTCCGCGACATCACCGACGTCGCCGCCTCTTGTATCGCCTGTAACCTCTCCGACGTTATCTCCGTCGCGTTCAGAGCCGATGCTAGTGGACCGCAGGATCGTTGAAGACCTTCCTGCGCTGTTGGGATCTCTTCAAACTGACGACATCCCAGGGGCTGGCCTCAAGCCACCGCGCCCTCGAAGACGCTCTGGGTTGCGCGCACTGGGCCTGGGTCTCGTGAATAACACCACTCCTCCCGAACAGGCACCTCGATCTTCGGAGAAGGAGAATAATGAATCCTCCCCGACGCCCCCGCCAGTAACCCCGGGTCCGTCTGCCTGGAAGGGCAAGCAACGTGCATCACGACTCTCACAGCAGTTCACTTCCGGCTCGCCTTGGTCGACGTTTGGCAGACATCATCAGCGGCCTACCCGGTCACCTTACGGCACGTCACATCCGACCTCCGCTCGCAGCTCACGCATGGCTAGCGGCGACTCTGGGGTGATCCGTGGATCCTCACTGGGACACAGCGTGGAGGGAAACACCACGTCTAACCTTGCGTCCACGGTCTCCGTTGATCATAAGTCTAACTCGCGTCCCACGGATAGCAGTCGCGACGTCTCGGTGCTGTCTACGCTCGCTGGATCTCTCTCGAATCACTCGTCCCACTCAAACAGATCGGGTGCCATTACGTTTGGCCGACAAAGCCCATCCTATGAAGCATACCTTCACACAGATATTGGACCAGAGGCAATCACGGGTGTGAATACCTTGACGGCGTATACATCTATGCCTACCTTACCGTCTGCTTATTCGAGCGAGAACGTGTTATCTCGAGGGAACACATTCCCTAGAAGGAGCAACAGACGCAAGGGACGTTCGAAGTCACGTTCTCGCTCACCACGCCGTGATGTCCTGCCTCATTTCACGAACCCTTTTATAACTTTTCACGACCCCACGGCTCAACAGACGAAGATACCTGACGAAGCCTCGGACACGATAGCAAAGGGAGAGCGCTCGACCGGATCCGCACTGGGCGGATCCCTGACTGATTTGGATGGGGGCGCTAAGGGGCATCAATTGCCTTCGGCGGTCGCCGAGCCTCACGCAAAGCACGCGTCCAGCGAGGGAACAAGCGAGCGGCCTTCTTCTCCTTCCCGCCTTATACCCCCTTCCCTATCGTCGCCCACGTCGCAAACGCTGCTGCACGGTGAGCAAGGTCGTTGCCCTATCTGATTCGCCACCATTGACAACACCCTCGATCTTCATAGCGGAGAATCGTGGCGCCGGCGTGCTCGATAACTTATCTCGTTTTCCCCCAAATACCGTCACTTCATCGGAGCGAGAGGAGAACAAGAGCTGGATGGCTGCCCCTGGACAAAATGCGACGGACACGCTGGCACGACGGCCCAGCGACACGCGAGACTCCTCCCTTCGCAGAGGATCGAGCACCGCCTCGCACAAGGGCACGCCCAGCCGGGCTCGCAGCAGACGTCTATCCCAGCTCAGCGAGCAATCTTCATCTTCATCCAACCCTATCGCCTCCACTTCACATTCACGCTCATCTTCTTCCAAGCAAAATGGAGGGGCTGGCCCGTCTACTGCTGCGTTCCCGACACTCGCATCGACCCCGCCCCCGCCGTCTCCCCAGCGTCTTCCCCGCACGCCGCGCACCGCGAGCGAGCCCATGCTTCGTTCCGTCTCCGAGAAGTCCTACGACCAACCTCAGTTCGAGACTCCCACGAACAACAAAGGCAAGCGCAAGGCCGACCAGGTAGATGTTACGCCCCCGGATCAGCGCGCCGCCGGCCACCACGCGACCTTCGCCATTCCCACGGACGGCCGACGTGAGTGCCCTCGTCCGCGTATTCTCGTCGTTCTAACCCACGCGCAGGCTCGCAACATGTGTCGGAGGTGAGCAAGCCCCCGTCGTCGTACCAGGGTCGCAAGCGCGCGCGACTCTCGACGTCGGGCGCGTCCCCATCCGCGAGTCCAGGACCCTCTCGGCCAGGCTCGGTGCAGCGACAACTGACGGATTCCTGGCCAAGTCGCAGCGGCGCCCCCGGCGCCTTGCATCGCGCGACGTCGAAGACGGCGTCGGCGCCCTCCGCCCGCCCCGAGTCGATGAGCACGAACGCGCATCGGCACGGTCAAGCACATGTCGATAGGCGGCGGAGCATGTCGGAGATCTCGTTCCCCATTAGCGCGCTCGTCGCGCCGCACGCACCGTCGATGAGCGTACGGTCGGGAGGCTACTACATGCGCGACCCGCGGAAGCCCCCCAAGATCCAGCCGACGCCGTGGACGCTGCGGCTGAACTCGGCGGAGGAGCAGGGGTCCCCTGTGCACTCGTGGATGTTCTTCATCGGGTTTATACTCTTCCCGCTGTGGTGGCTGGCGAGCTTTTGGCGGATACCGCAGACGAGGAGGGTCGGGGGAACGGACACGGAGAAGGCGGTGACGCTGGACGACCCACAGGTCGAGCATGGTGAGTGTTCCTTCTGTCATGCTGGTATGCGGCGCGCCTGAGGCAGTCATCGGGGCAGATGCGAGGACCTGGCGGTTCCGGTGTCGTGTCATGGCTGTGATCTCCCTCTTCACCTACATCCCGTTCATCGTGTTGGTGGCCGTGTTTGTCCCGCGTAACTGACGCTATAGATCCGAGTGGTGGGACGTGCCTTCAGCACGTCTTGCCCTCGGCCATCCCGCTCGCTGTTTGTGTGCTCTGGTCTGGGTCCCTGTCCTTCCCGTGTTGCTCTCCTGCAGGGTCCTCGGTGCATCCTCGTCATTCCTTTCTTGTCCCATTCTTTTGAACACTGAACGGAATTGGTTTGCAGTAGTGCTGTTGTAGTCGGACATCGTGCGCGATGCTAAGTAGTGCAAGTACGTTACAACTCTCTCATTGATATGTTGTGCAGTCGATACTAGTACATACATATCAGAAGCTAGACTAATACATCTGTAGTACAAACAAAGGGTCTATGATGTGACGCGCAGTGAGGCCTCAGTCATCGTCGACATCGAGGTCGCCCTCAATCCCGGCACCTTCACCCGTGTCATCGAAAACGACCTCATTTGCGTTGTAATCCCACTGATCTTGGTCTTGGTAGTCATCTTGATACTCAGAGTAGACAGCAGCATCAACCTGCATCGCTTGTGACGGTTCAGCGCCGTTGGAAGTCCCGTTGACGGCAGGAGCTGCCTCGCGGAGAGTTTCTTTCACGGTGTTCAGTATATCGTCCATTTGGTTGCCAAAGCGGTCTTCCAGTTCTTCTACGACCTACACATACACCGAATGAGAGGAGGCGATACGGGGTGCGGGACATGTCACATACCACGTACAGCTCGACAGGTTCCGTAGGAGCCAAGTTGACTATCTGGAGTTTCTCAGCCTTGGTGAGGTCCCAACGCGCGAGGTTCCGCGTCAACTGGGTGATGCCCTCAGGAGTCTGCGACCCAGTGGGCTGGAAGTCTGCAGACAGATACTGGATGGCCTACAATCATGTCTGTGATCAATCGGCCTCCCGCCCTCGATATGTGCTGTTGTTCGGACGGAGCTCACCTCAACCTCGACGGTCCGCAAATTCTCACAGACATCATCCGGTGGCGCTTGGTGTTTTGGGGGGAGTCCCGCGGCCTCCTCCTCCTTTTTGATGCGGATCGCGGTCTTCGTGCGTGCGAGGTGATCGCTCTCGAGCTCCTTGAGAAGCGTCAGGACCTCGTAGTTGGAGAGCAGTGCCGCGCGTTGGTTTAGGACCTGTCGAGCGGTCAAACCCTCGTCCTCCTCAGAAAATTTGCACCGACCTCCATCGGACGTTCAGAAAAAGCTCAAAATTCAGAACAGTAGCATATAGAGCAGCCAAGATATACACAGAGCGACCCTCGCCAAGCCTAAGATTTCTGGCGAAAATGTCGAGGTCGAGGTCGGGTGTCAAGCCATTGTCGGCGCTTGGCTTCCATTCTCGCTTTCTACCCCGCCACCACCATCCGACGCCCTGTGCAAATCCTCTTTCTTGCCATCCACATCGTCTCTCGTCGCTTTCTGACTGCGCTCCCTGTCCAGAAAATATGCATCGACCAGGTAACCGCCTGAGTTCCCGAGAGCCAGACGGTGTGTTTACATCGCGTGCAGGTCAACCTCCTCAGCGTCCGCCAAGTCTCGGTCCCAACCCTGCGCTCGGCGGACCATACCGCGGGCCCTATCCAGGATTTGGCATTCCCCAACGCAATGTCATGCCAGGATATCCCAGTCTACCCAATCAAAGGACAGTCGTGCCCCAACCTTCCCCCAACTTCCTCCAACAGCGCGGCCAGAGCAACTTCCCGTATACCGCGGGCACCCTCCAGCAACAACAAGCCCAGTCGCAATCCCAGCAGCAGCTCGCGTCCCAAGGTGCACTTCCGCATCCCGCTGCACACCAGCAACAGCAGCAAACGCAGAATCAGGGCTCGGGCGCCAACTCGACGTTACCACCGCACCTCGCGCAGAACGCGGCTCCAAGTAGCCTTGCGCCATCTGTGTCCTCTCAAAGTGAGCTTGGCCTCGACCCGAATGACTTCCCGGCACTCGGTGCCGCACCTGCGAGCAGTACACCTGCAGCGACGAATGCGAACGCGACGAGCTATGCGAGCCAGGCGGGGACAGGAGCGGGCGGCAACGGGGCTCAGGCGGGGAGCGGGCTGGGCGCGAATCAGCAGCGAGAGTTGACGGCGGAGGATTTCCCTGCATTAGGTGGGCAGAGCCAGACGACCCAGCAACAGACAGTGGCATCGCAGCAAACCCCCGCAGACGGCCATCCTCCAGGGTTGAACGGCTTCCAGCAATCCGCGGACCCGCAACAACGACAGAGTCTGCTAGGATCTCTAACGGCAGGGGCGCAACAGCAGTCTCAGCAGCAGCCGGGCTTGTTGAATTTAGGGCAGCAGGCGAGGAATGTGCATCCCGGGTTCCAGTCAGATGCGGACAAGCAGCGGGTGCGTACGGTCTTTGACATCGTCCTCTCCATAGCGGTCTTATGAGATGTAGAATTTCGGATTGAAGAATAATCATGCGGGCGCAGCGGCAGCATGGAATTCACCGAATGTCAATCCGAGTGCGCAGCAGCCGGGCTCGTTCCCGAATGGCCAGCAAAACCATACACAGGCACAGGCTTCCTCGCAGCAGCCGCCACAACCGCCAACACAACAGCACTTGAACGCACCTCCAGGTGTCCCGCCCCCTCCTTCCTTCCCGCAGCAGCCTACGCCCGCGCAGCAGACACCTTACATTGCGAACGGCACTGTTGCCGACACCCCACACCATCCATCGCAAGGACCTGCGCACGCAAGCGCAGTACCGCAAACACCCGCACAGCAAGTACTCATGTCGCCTGCAGATCGATGGGGTCTCCTTGGGTTACTTGCGCTGATCAAGAGCGCGGACCCCGACCAGAGTCTACTAGCAATAGGCACGGATCTTGGGACGATGGGGCTGGACATGCAGAATCCTGGGTAAGCTCTGCAGTGTATTCCCCACTGTATCTGTCCCTTACCACTTTGCGGCTCAGAAGCCTGTACTCCACGTTCATCACTCCATGGGCAGACTCGTCCGCTGCGCATACGGTCGAGCCGGACTTCCACCTACCAGCGTGCTATAATGTTCAGCCGCCCCCGCCAGGACCCAACAAGGCGGCCGCGTTCAGCGATGAGACACTCTTCTTCATGTTCTACTCATCTCCTAGAGACGCGCTTCAGGAGATCGCTGCGCAGGAGCTGTAAGTCGGACGCACTTTTCCCTTTGGCGCCTTCTAACCGAACACCCATACTGCAGGTTCAATCGCAATTGGCGGTACCACAAGGATCTGCGTCTCTGGATCACGAAGGAGAGCGGCACGCAGCCCTCGCAGAAAGTTCCTGGCGGCGAGCAGGGGAGGTACTCGTTCTGGGACCCCGAGATGTGGGAGAAGTCGCAGAAGGAGATGACAGTGCTCTACTCGGATCTCGAGGAGAAACACCCTGTCTTCGCCCCAACCCAGACATTGCAGCTCAACGCAGGCGCGACGCAGTCCCACCCGACCCCGCAGCCGGCGCGCGTCGGGCAGGCCTTCCAGGGCATCAGCATGAGCGCGATGTGATTGGGATGCGCAACGACAAGCTACATAGCAAAACGCGCGAGTCCCATTCACATTATTCGCCTCAACGAGAATTCGGACAGAAACAGTTTCCTCCCCCATCCGGTTCGCCCTTGCCCGTATACTCCATCTGCCGTCGCTCCATCGTCTCTTCTGTTTCTCCGTGCCATTGCCACCGCTCCCCCTCTTGCCATCGTGTCGGTGCTGTTTCTCCGTTTCCCCATCATCGAGCTACCATACGCTTGTATCTGTAAACCACTCTGTTTGAATCATATCACCCGTCTATTGGCTGTCCTCTATCATCGCTGCTCTGTTTGCCTGAATCGTAACAGGTTCCCACGTCTTTCATCATGTACAGCTTCACAGTGCTTCAGGCTTCGAGCCTGAGGAGCCGACGGCTTCGCGTTGGATCTTGAAGGAAAGACAGGTACGTCCTGCTCTAGCTCTATGTGAAGGAATCCATGAACTCGTTGCAGGCCTCAGATTCAGGTTCACGCTTTGAGACAGCTCTGCGATTACAACACTTCTGGGATATCTTGTACTTGGCATTCGCGGATGCTGCAGCACTGCGATACGACGGCTACCGCAGCACCCAACTCGGACTAGGCTAAAAAATGTCTGTATTTCGTTGACTCTTCCTCACTATCTACCATCATGAATACGCACTCTGCACTCACAAACTTCGACATCATCAGTCTCATTCTCCGTCATTCCGACGTTCCGGATGGATACGCACCTCATGTTGGTCAATTGTCACTGGCACGAGCCGCTCGTGTCTGCGTCGCTTTCTACGAACCTGCCATTCGTCTACTATGGAGGTGTTTGTCCAACATCGTTCCTCTTCTAAGCCTGCTGCCTTCTTCGTTGATGAAGGTCAGGGAAGATGAGGAAGATAAGGAGGGGAAATATGACACCTATGTGAGTAAAGGTGCTCCTATACCATACTCTGCTGCTAGCCGTCGAGGCTCGTACTGCTCCGGGCATTCACTCAGCTCTAGCTACCGTGTCAGACGGGTAGCCTGCCTCTACAATCTGGAGTGTCCTCAGTCTGTTTGTTGACTTGACCTCGTTTAGATGCACCGTGCCCGAAGAGTGAGAGTATATGCAAAGGCGAGCGGAGTACGTGCAATATTTGGACTATAGCACTTACCAAGACCGAACGCGGCTTACGCCCCCTACATGGATCTACCTAACACATCTCACTCACTCACAACCCTTGCTTCCCAACTTGCGGTCGCTGTCCTTCTATTTCTCATCTCCACTGTCCACAACCATGGTCCGCCCACTCCTCTCTCCCACCATCACTGACCTGGACATATACTGTGATGTGGAGGGAGACAATGACGAATGGATCTGCTCCCTTCGCGTCCTCTTTCACGTGGTCTCTTCCGTTGCGACACATCTTACCTCGTTCGAACTCAGGGTCCCCCGCGTCAACATTCGTCTTCCATTAACTATCCTCTCTCCGTTCCAAAATCTCGAATACTTGCGTACTCTAGAGTGGTGCTTCCCCATTGACTCCGAAGCGCTGCGACCACTGCTATGTGACAAGAACAGTATAGAGATCGGGGGCTCTCTGGGGGATCGAGGGCAATCCAACGCAGCGAGATTGAGTCAAGGGATACGGAATCGAGTTGGGCACCGCAGCCACTCATTCACCCTCAGCCGCATAGACGATGTCAACCTGCGTGATTTCTTCTCATCCCAGTATCTACGGGAACTAACAGTCGCGCGGCAACCCTGGACAAGCGTACGAGAGAACTCCATCCTCGCCACAGCACTCGCACGCTGCTTTCCGTGCCTTCAGGTCTTGGAATGGTCCTTCCTCGGCCTCCCAATGACGTCGCATCCTGTACCGCAGGAGGGAAGCTATGTGGAGCAGTCAATCCGGCCTCTCATGAAGCTGCGCAACCTGTTGTCGCTCACCGTGCATGCGACCAATGTACCTCAGGTCACAGAGGCAGAATTAGTGTCGATGGCGGACGCTTGGCCACTGCTCACCACATTGCGCATACTTGAAACACCCGCCGTCGGTCCAGGAGATGCGGAACCGGGCCCTGCCGCCTTGGTCGCCCTTGCATCACGGTGTCCAAACCTGGAGGTGCTGCAGCTTCGTTCGTGTTATATTCCCAAGTCTGTGTTTTCGCGGTTGACCGAGTACCCTGTGTTCGACCATCCGCTGAAAACCGTGTTCTTCTCGACCTTCCGCACAGATGACTACCAGTACGCGGCATTACTCTTCGACCGTCTCTTCCCTCACCTGGACTTCGAACCCCAAACGCCGACAGATGGCCCAGCTAACACACTGCCCGGGTATTCCCCGCATCCTTCCTGGGTGCAGTTGTGTGCGGGAGTACGGGCTCTCCAGATGGCGAGGCGGTACCATGAAGAACGCCCTGGCATCTCTCCGAGGCAGCCTGACGGAAATGCTCCCGCTGGACGAAGTGCATCTGGGACCGTGCCTGATGACTAGGAGACCGCGGACGCGAGTGCGCGAGAGTGTGGCTATCCAGATTCAGAAACAGGCAAGTATACCCCATGCTATTCAGTCGCTCACATTGGAGAGATTGCTAACGCGGTCGACTTGAAGCAGTGGGGGTTCGATCGTTATTCGGCTTAGCTTGCGATTGGTTATGGGATTCGATAACTACATCATGAAGGAGCTCGTTGAGCTCGTTGACGAGCGTAAGTGATATTGACCTCTCCATTGATGCCCGTGACTTACAAACATCTACGGTGGGTAGGTGTCGGGAGGATGCCCTGATTATATTTCTGTTCAAGCGACTGGGATGAATGAAATGAATAGCATTGTGCAGCCAACCTTCCACGTTGTATATAGTTATTCCCAGGTTCTTTGGTAGTAAGGTCCTCCACGCCCGCATCGCATGTTGGAAGTACGTAGAACTATCTGAGAGGTGAAAAGCACCATGCCGCGCGATACTCGGGACTAGCCTGATGAAGGCACCAGAGTATAGGCTCCCATTGAGAGGAAGTTGAGGGAAAGGGACCGCTGGAAAGTTGTCCAGTAAGATAACATGACGCATAGACGATTGCGCCACGCCACAAAGGACTTGCAATTGAGGACTCCGAGGAGCGTTTGCATGACTGCGGGCTAGCTACCCGCCAACGCCTGCTCTGTCATGAGGACAGTGAAGAGCACCTTGTACAGTCGGAACATAAATCAGGTGTCTCGCACGCGTTCGGCCACATGTGGAGGACTTACTGCTTGTAGCTACCGCGAACGAGAATCCCGCGGGCCGCGTCTGGGGTAATCACGCAAGGTCAATCGTCCATGGCGGCAATAAGGAAATGGTGCGACGATGCAGGAGCATTCGTTCGTCGTCAGCTATACGCGTGACAGACCGGAGCATTAGCAGGAGATACCAATATAGCTCATGCAGGCCTAGACTCTAGCAGGAAGTGTAAGTATGAGTGGAGACAGCGGCCTGAGCTGCCATGCGCAGCGACATTGTGGCAAGTGGGGACAGTGTTTGGGGTCCTCGTAGTCAGAGCACCGCCAAAGTGCTGTCTGTCCACCTGTACATACTCCTAGACTCGTGCGGTTCAATGTGCATTCGGCGCAGCCAACTACCTCCATGCGTATACCAAGCGCGCACACATCTACCTGTCCGTGGCCACATTTGCCCAGTGCAGGATTCCTTCTGAGCATGGGGAAAGGAGCACGGGGACCCTGGACAGTGGTCGGAAATGGCGAGCACAAGACGTGGCGGATATAGGCCCCCGACGTCATTCGAGCGTAGTTATATAAATGATCATAGGACGTCCGTGGACGCAGCTTACTCTCCTGTCTACTTTCCAGATACTTCCTCTCTCTTTTCCTCCGGTCGTATTTATACCATGGTCCTCACCTCTGCCAACTCGAGTCGCAGACCTTCACCACTGCGCCCTAATTCCTACGACCCCCTCACGCCGATGGACGACGAAGTGCATCCCGTCATCCACGAAGGCCGCGTTGCAGTCATCACCGGTGCCGGCAGTGGCATCGGGCGTGCGGCCGCAATAGAGCTCGCAAAGTGAGACCTTCGCCGATCTCTGCACTTGACCGATATACTCACTCTGTGCAGGATCGGGCTCAAGATCGCTATTGCAGACGTAGACGAGCAGGGCCTGAATGGGACCGCGAAGGAGGTCGCGCAGATCGTCGGCCAGCAAAACCTCATCGCGCTCCCGACGGACGTGACCAAGTTGGAGCAGGTCGAGCGGCTGCGCGATAGAGTGTACGAGGCGTGGGGCGAGGTGAGCTAGCTCGCTTCTAGCTCTCTGACCGCGCACCAGTCGTTTCGTCACTTCCCTTCCCTTTCCCTACCCATCATTTCTGTGATGTCGCGTTCCATCCACGGGCGAGGGTAGAAGGGGCGGTATGCGGCGAGCGGCGATAACCTCACACGGCTCTCGTGCAGGTTGGTGTGCTCATGAACAATGCCGCCGTCTCGGCGAAGGGCACGTCGTGGGACGGCCTCGAGAACTGGCACAAGGTCTTCGATGTGAACCTGTTTGGGTGCGTGCCTGGACAACTTCCTCCGCCTTCGGGCAATGACCTGACACTTACGGTTTTGACTCTCCACGCGGGTTTTAGCGTACTGAATGTCCAGCACACGTTCGTACCGAGCATGCTGCACCAAGAGAACCCGGCAGTGATCATCAACACGGGGTCTAAGCAAGGCATCACAAACCCGCCGTAAGCCGTATTTCTGGATCCTTGATTATACCCACGCTGATCGTCGTGGATACAACAGCGGAAACCCCGCGTACAACGCCACCAAGGCCGCTGTCAAATCTCTGACCGAGAGTCTCGCCCACGAGCTCCGAGAAACGACGAAGGCTAACCTTACGGCCCATCTGCTCATGCGCGTTACCCTTTTACACTCCCTAATCGCGAACACTGGGCTGATAGTGCTATCTTATAGCCCCGGATGGACGTGGACTGGAATGACCGGAGCCAACTCCGGCAAGGAGAAGCCCCCGGGCGCGTGGACCGCGCAGGAGACCGTGCTTTACATGGTACGTCCCTTCCAGTCCTTCGCGCTTCCCCGCGCGGCACGTCAGGCATGAGCGTATTTATATCCGTCCACATCCGCAGCTCGACAAGGTTCGACAAGGCAAGTTCTACATCCTGTGCCCCGACAACGAGACGCGCCGCGAGGTCGACCAGCTGCGGATCATGTGGGGCGCGGGCGACGTCGCCGAGGGCCGTCCAGCGCTCTCCCGCTGGCACCGCGATTACAAGGCGCTCTTCGAGGAGTACATCCGCGACGGGCTCGCCCAGCTCGACTAGGCGCAAAGGGTGCTGCGGAGGAGATGGTTGTATACGCGCGGGCATGTGGGGAGAGCTCGAAGGTCTTGAAAAGTGGAATCCGATAGATGTACAACATGTTCCTGCATAGGAGGGTGGATCGTAGTGCTTTGCTTTGTTGATGTACTTGCTGTCTCACCAAACAATTGTCAAACACTCGAGTAGTGGCTTGGCTTTAGCGCTTCTCGTATATCACGCTCTGTTTGGCACGTAATGGAGGTCGTACGGAGAGCATGCAGGCTGCTATTACAAGGTGTGAACCGACCCAATGATACGCTCTTATTCTGAACGCTGTGTGTCTTGGCCTGATGGCTAGGCGAACGTCAACAGCAGCCGACTGCTACAAGCACTGAAGTCCTGATGGCTAACCTCCCCCACCGCCACTCATTCACTGACAGCTATCCTGACAGTTATCCTACGGCAGCTGCTGAGCTTTCGCAGTGCACAGAGCTGTTCAATAATGAGATGATATTGTCCTTACCTCGTGTCGCATCAATGTTTGGTAGCGGCCCAACGAACCACTTCCTCGCCGACAGGACCCAAGAGCTCGCAGCGAAAATGAAGACCGCCAGCACGATGACCGACGCATAATCTGATAGGGTGGCGCTGAGTTCGATGCTGCACTATGGACGAATTAGGACCCGACTTACTCATTTCCACTGCATTCGTCGTCTGACTTGCAGGGAAGCAAAGGAGGACCACAACGAAGCTGACCCACGCGACCGCGATGGTGCCTATCGGCATGAACCATCGTCCGAGAGCGAACGGCCCTGGGACGAGCTTATCCCGGCCTGAAGTTATCCTCAGGAAGATTGGCGCTGCGTACGACGTGTACAGTCCTATCACGGATGCTCTGGAGTGACGAATATTGAGACGACGGCTCCTTAAATCACCACGCGAGGATGCAAGAACGACAGACGTACCCAGCAAGAGAAGAGAACGCAGTGGCAGAGAACCCGAGCAACCCGCAGAACGCCGACAGGACGACCACCAACCAAACGGCGTTGACCGGAGTTTGAGTGTGCGGGTTCATCCTTTTCCACCATCGCGATCCAGGAAGCGCGTTGTCCCGTGCGAAGGCGAACACGACGCGCGATGCGTCCACGCCTTGTGCCGCGCCGCATAGAAACTATACCCCAATTAGTCACGCAGTCTACATCTCACTGGCACCACATGATCAAAGACGCGCCTGTGAGGCAAGAGTGAAGCTCCACACCGCAAGCATCCCCCGTTTTCCCAGGACGTCCAAGAGTATCTGGCCCATCGGGAGCGCGAGCTTCGTCTCGAGGAGCGCGGGCACTGACGCCAGCGCGAACGACGCGCAGATGAGGTATATCCAACCCAGTCCTCCGACTGCCGCGACGGAGGCAAGGATCGCAATGGGTGCTGTGCGTGCTGCGCCTGAGATCTCTTCGGATATATGCGCCGCGGAGTCATCTGCGCAAAAAGAGCCCAATGAGCTTGATTCTCGCATCACGACTAGGGCGAATTGCTGGCACTTACAGCCTGTTAAGGACCACATGGGAGCGGCGAAAGAGAGGAGGAAGGCCCAGCCATCTGTCTCCAGTTGAGTACGAATCTGCAGAGATAAATCAAATGGACCATACTGTTCTTCCAGCCTGTGTTATTCTCGAACAACCCAAAGGCGGTCTCTGTAGACACCTTGTTGTCTCCTGAGCAGACGAGCAAGGCTATGATAGCTCCGATAGTTGCGGCCACTGACATGTATCGTTGATTGGTTATTCTCAGAACCGCGAGGGACTTTATGCTGCACTTACTAGTCAGAAAGCCGTAAAATAAGTTCAGTCTTGCGAGTATGCGAGTTGCCGAAGAACATATGAAGCCGTGGATCACCAAGATGGCGAGGAGGATCCCATAGGTTGGCCCTGCACCCAGAGTGACGGAGCCATCCGTACCCACAGCCACAGCGGTTGTGATCATCTGTGCTCTGCCTCTCTGTCAACACATTATATTTTCCACGCAAGCCGAACTACGTACACTGTGTAGTCAATCGAACACACAAGGGTGACCTGGCCGGTGACGTTCGCCCATCCGGTAATCCAGCTAGCTAAGGCTGAGTACCGTTCGGGTGCCAACTTTGCTGAGAAGTAGTACAATCCGGCACTGGTGCTGCCGCAGGGGAGAATCAGAGTCTGTATGTGCGCTTCATCTGCTAATGACTTACGGCATTGAAGACGCCAGCTCGGCCATTGATGCCGCGACGCACATGATGAACATGCACGGAATGAACCAGCCCCAGACCATGCCTACGTGGCCTCCTAAGAACGACAGAATTGGTGACTTAGTCTATCGCCACATGGAATCATGAAGCGGTGATCACACCTGAAGGGAGTCCAAAGGAAAGAGTGGAACTAACGCCTCCATTGACGGCCATGATGGAAAAGGCAAAGGCGATGGTTTCGAGCAGCTATGCAAGGTCAATAGAAGCATGGAGGCCGTATAAAATGACTGACCGAAAATTCCCGCTTGAATTCGCCCTTGTATCCTAGCTCTGCCAAACGGATGTCGTCTGAATCGATGACCTGAACGACAATCTCCTTCACCTCGGATTTGTCCAGCTTCTCGATCGAAGGTGCAGGAGCCATGATGTTGGCAGGACAAGAACTCCTCGAAGCTCTCCGCTCAGATTGGGCGGCCACTGCTGAGCGGGAGTCGTGGGATCACAGGGCGGTCACCTGCTATCAAGATAGCGAGGGAAACGTCTTGTGCTGGCGTTGATTTGTTTGGGGAATCGGTGTCCATGATACCTATGGGCCCCACGGGAAGGTGCCCCGGAGGTACATGCACTAGGAGCTCCGCATTGTTCAGCACATTTGCTAGATGACACAGCAGCGCGTAGTACAGTTTAGTGCACTTATCCACGAGACGCTGCCTCCAAGCAGCTGAGCATAGTGGAACGATGACTCCTCAGTCAGTCGTGAGAGAGGTCAATAGATTGTGCATACGAACAGATGGGATGGTGGGAGAAGAACAATTGCGTACAGTCCATGCGACGCATGATCTTCGAGCGCTCTTCCTTCCCCATTGGGGCTGCAGCCGCCACGCGGCATGAGGCTATGAGCCTTACAGTACTGCGCCTTGCATAGGTCCGTGAACGCGCGGATTTTTTTCTCTCCGGCGTCTACACTACCCGACCTGCCTAAACAGGCCATATTAGCCTACAGACAGGACTAGTCCATGACAGGGCGTCAGGGCGTCACCGAAGGGGCGTTGGTTGGTTGAGGTAGATGAGGTATGGATATGGGTGCCCGGGTACTTTCATGTCTGTATTTCAGCCCCTTTTAGTCCTCCCTGGGGATCCTGTACCTTGATTTGATTGGGAGATACCATGGTCAAGGTGCAGTTGACATGCTTGAGTCAGTGCAGAGGCTTCGACATGCCTTGTGACACATTCTCGACGTGTCTCATCAACGATATGCACATAAAGCGCTCAGGCACTTAGTACTTAGGAGCGACTCGAATCTGACCGCACACAATATCACTAGTCATGTGTTCATTGGAAAGGGCCCAATTCACTCAGGCTTCTCGTGCAGTGACTGTGCTGCCCCTCACGCAAGCGATCTCGCACACCGTAGAAACTGGATGACTCAGAGTATAGCCGAGTCTACTGGATTCATGACATGCTCACTTTCCAAGCTTCAGGTTGGGAATGCCGGTGCCAGCCCAGCGAGCGGACTCAGCGGGGAGCTCTGCCATGACCGTGATGTGGCCTGTTTAGGCAGGTCGGGTAGTGTAGACGCCGGAGAGAAAAAAAATTCACGGTCTTATGCAAGGCGCAGTATCTTCAAATTTTGCAAAGCACTTGTTGGGTCGCCCCCTCCCACTACTCGAACCTATAGTTCTAGTCTCAGCTGCAACCGACTGCTTGATGGCACCTTTTGGCACCGACTACCAAGAATTGGAGTATGGCATTGTATGAGAAATCCACGTCTGCGAAGTGAACATTCAAAGCACGGTGTCAGGTTAGGGTAAGGTCCATCATCATCCACAATAGTGAGTCTTTTAACCCCTCCCTGGCATCGCGTCTTCGTACTGATCAAGGCTCGCCAGGACTGTCCTGTCTAGCGTTGCCGGTGCCTCAGAATCCTTTCCTACCGCAGCAATATACGCATGCGCTGCGTTGCATCCAAGAATAAGAATAAGAACAGTACATGCTCACGCTGCGTACAATAGCTACCGCAGCACCATGTCATGTCTATAAACCACTTCCCCTGTTTCGAGATCTTTCACACTTAACAATCATGTCCCCTCATCCTGCCCTCGAGATTTCTGACGTGCTCACCCGCATCTTTGAAGGAGTAGCTTCCATCGACGCTCTTTTCGGGGACCATGACCTGATACGCAAACGAACCTTAGCAAGCGCAGCGCGGGTCTGCGTTGCTTTCCATGAGCCAGCTATGCGGCTCTTGTGGTGCAACTTAGACAGCCTTCACCCTCTTCTTGCCCCTCTCACATCGTATATAAGAGTGGGCCACCACGACACTCGTGTTACAAACTCACGTGAGCTAGAGCTGTTTCACAAGATATACGTGAGTGGTCTCTGATGGCTATATCCCTTGGACATACACTCGACTGAGTTCGACCTCTAGATGCTCGATGGGTTCGTGGATCCTGAAGAGTGGGATCGTGTAGTCCAGCGAGCCAAGTATGTGCGATCTCTACGGATGACACCTGTCTCTACAGTTGGACTGGTGTCCTCCACTTGGGGGTATTTGTTGCACCTCACCGGCAAGGAACCCCTCCTCCCGAATCTCCGCGACCTAACGTGCACATTCCTAACACCACAATCTACGACCATGACCCTGGTACTTCTGTCTCCAACCATCTCATCGCTGACCTATAATGTCGACATGGGCGATGTCGACTATGACCTTGAGGATATACGAGAATGGGAGTGCTCCCTCCGATCGCTCTTCTCAATCACCTCTTACATCGCCCAGCAGCTCAGATCTTCGCGCTTTGCGGATGTGGGGTCGCCCTCTCCACTCCCTCTATATCATCTCCCCGCTCAGCCAACATAGGCATTTGCGAACGTGCGAGTTGCTCTTCCACTCTGAGCTGAACTTCGGAATGCTAGAATCCGTATTTTCTGATTTCCGAAGCCTTGAGGAGCTCAGCTTGCCACAGTCCTGCCTTGACAGCAACCCTCTTGAATTGTTGCAGGGCTGTCGGAAGCCCTCTCGCGCCCCTCCCGCCGTACGCCTAGGGAACCCTGATACGCTGAAATTCCCTTCAATGCATGGCGACATGCACTGCTCGTCCCTCGCATTCTTCGCATCTCCGCGACTCCGACGACTGGCCATCTCGATACACGGGTTTGAAGGAAGGAATGAGCTGTCTCGAACCTCGAGAGTAATCGCGGAGTCCTTCCCGAGCCTCGAGGCACTCCGATGGAGCCTTTACCCCCTCCCACTCCTTGTGTACACGTCGGTGGAAGTGATAGGTTTCGTTGAACCACTGCTCAAGCTGCATGAAATGACGTCTCTCGAGTTGAATTTGTCTTCTGACACGTTCATTATCAGAAACGTCGAAGTCCAAGCCATGGCGAAAGCCTGGCCGCGCTTGTCAACGTTGTCTATCACTCAACCGCAGCCTCACCCCCATTCAGATCTGGGTCCTGCTTCCCTTGTCTCGCTGGCGACACGCTGTCCTCGCCTCACATACCTGAGATTGCCTGTCATCCACTTCCCTCAGAGCAACCTGTCCCATTTGACCGACTATCCCCTCCTCGAGCACCCTTTGCCATACATCTACTTCTCAAAAGTCCAGGCCTCGGGCCAATCTTTTGGCGCGTTGTTCCTCGACCGGCTCTTCACGTATGTCTCCTTGAATATTACGGGACCCGCCGACGCCGAAAACAAGCAGGACGAGCTCCGGATGGTCTTGGAGGCTTGTCAGACGGCAAGGCGGCAAAGGGAGACCTCGCCGTGCCGCTGCGCTCGTATTGGATCCGAAGGCCCTACAGTCGCAGGACAATCTACTCAAACAGGAGAAGTCAGTGCCAGAAACGGATTCTGCTGAGGCGGAATTGACGGTGCGTTGGGCGATGCTACGATGTTGTCGTGCCATGTTACTTACCCAACTGCCGGACGCGGATCCATTAGGAAGGATGTCGGCGACATCAAGTGGCCAAGGTTGTTTTGCGGGGGACGAGTGCTTGAAAGGCCGGAAGTCATACGCATGTATTATAGAGAATCAGAGTACTAGTCCCGGATTCGACGTTGCCCAAAGTCGCCACCTCAACCCAGGGATCATCGCTGTAACTTGAGAATCCTGCGAACGTCCCGTCGTCCGTAGTCTCCTTTGTCATTCATTTGTTTTCTATGCCCGGCAACAGCGAGAGTTCGTGTTGGCCGTGTGCGTTGTATAAGCTATCATGCCAGGTTGCTTCTGGCGTTGACGGCCATGCTGGCACACTCTGAGGCGAGCCCGGACTCGGATGCGTGCCAGCGCACTCTCTTGCTTCTCCAAAAGATATTCTCGTTCAATGCAGCAGTCCTCGAGCAAGTACCCTGGGAGGTGGTGTAGAATGGTACGTGGCTGGCTCGCTCATCATGCGGTCGGTCGGCTGAGACACACAACGTGAACCATAGTCGCTGTTGCAGTGGAGACATGGCTGCGGAAGCGCCTCCTAGTGGGCGGGTCGGATGGCCGGCCATCGCAGTGGGACTTTGAAGTGGCGGCAGCCAGCGGGGTGTTGGCGCGTTGTCTGTTCGCTCCTGCGTCATCGTGGGCGCGAACGGACGAGCAGAGAGACGCGTCGATAGTCCGCGTGCGACAAATCATCGCCGACTTGGAGGTGTCGTTGCGCCACGCGGTCGTCAACATCGAGGGCCGCCGCTACGGCGCTGTGATACACTCGGCGGGTCTGGTCTTGGACACGCTTTGCCACTCTTCGCTCGCTCTCGCTGCCGTTGCTGGCAACTTCGCTGCGGTCGTAGAGGAAACGTCGGCGATTGGAAACTTGCAGGCCTCATACGACCCGGTGTGGATGGACCTTATCGTGACCGTTCATCTGCGGCGACTTATGAGAAGGCTGGAAACATGTAGAGCTGCTGGAACTGAGTCAGGGAGTAATTTGATGGAGGTCCATTCATTGGCGGGTACGCAACTCGCTCTTGAGGTTCAAGCTGATACTAAACACGCTCTCGCCCCTTTATACAGAGGGCCCAAGTCGCTATGCCGCTGAAGACAAACTCCTCGACTCCGTCTTCACGACCTGACCGCGGGCCGGAAGGTTGCTGACTTCGGAGGGTTCGAATATCTCTCCCCATGCGACTTCACCTATTCTGCTTGCAATACACGATTTGTCGTCGTCTGTTTCTCGCGACAGTCGAAGCTGCGATGGTGTGAATAACGAAGCGATTGATCATGCACCCACAGGCTTACGCGCGCGCGATTGTAACGCAACAAACAACGTGTAGGTCGTCAGACGTACATAGGTGGTAGGATGAGGTGCTACGCCGCCTCGTGCTGGATGGACGCTCCCCGAATTGCGCATGGACGGACATCCCCATCGTGCGATCATGGAGAAAAGCTCTTCGTACAAGGTTGGGGCGAAGCACGAGGTATGTTTAGTCTCTCTTTGTACGTGATGCCTACACATAGGCGATGGATTGCATGAACTGGCGGTCCTGAGACGCACATCCCCACGCACGGGTAGACGGGGATACGCATTTCGGGCACACGTTCGAGACCTCGCAACAGGTTGGGGAAGGGGCGGGGACCAACGTTTGACGTTAGAGTTCCTATTGCCAGCGATGGTCATTCCTGCGGCACAGGTGACCATGGTAGACCAGTCGCGTATGCTCGGTAGGCGCAGCCGGTGAGAGTGCGAGAGAACTCTCAACGGGGTAGGAGACAGGTGACCGCGTGACGTGTCTACGAAACGCTATGTATGCGACGGCGACGCACCTGCGTGATTCTCGCCCATCACACTTGTAGTGCTCCGGCCATGGAGGGATGAATGCGACATCCGAGACCCGGGATGGCGAGCTTGAGAGAGTGGCTGCAAGAGCCGAATGACCGGCACGCCTGCCCGGTGCATATTGCGGTCGACGAGTCGCCCCCGGAGGTAGTCGTCCGACGGAGCTGTACGGACAGGGCGAACAGCACTGCACAGGCGGGGGTTGGTCGACAGGGTTACAGGCAATACAATCTGTCAGCTCGCAGCGTGCACAGGCGACAGTCCGAGAGTGTCGTAACGGGTCGTCGGAGGAGATGACAGAGAGAAGTCAGCCACAGCGAGCAAGGCACGCGCGAGGGAGCACGAGCGCGCAGGGGCGACTGGCTGGCGGTCACGCTGGGCTGGTCATGGACCGGCCGAAACGACGAAGCTCGATGCCCCGGATCTTCGTCCAACCCCATGGCACTGTGTCAGGCGTGTCGCGCGCGTATGTGCGATCGTGCTCCGGTGTGGGGAAAACACAGCGTGCAGTATTCTTGGTCATTCGACGCAGGGCTCGGGACTCGGACGTGCTCCGTCGTTGTGCGATGACCGGCACATGTCAGAGAACAAGAGAAGGAAAGCGGACATTGCGCAGAGACCCCGGACATGCGTAACGGTCGGCGCGGACGCCGATGAGGACGAGGAGAGCTTTGAGCCCGGGGATGAAGGCGTTGTCGACGATCGCGACTGGCCCCAAGGCGGGGAGCAGGGCGTGCTCCGGCAATCTGCCATCGCCAGCTGTGGATCTCAGTCTTTTGCGTTGGAGGCCACCGGCGCTTGTCTGCCCATCTAGACCCAATAACAGAAGACCCCAGACGTACGGCTCATTTGTGTTTGACGTATATAAAATGCGTCCAGCCACCATCTTCCTCTCCGCCTACCATCTTCCCGACCCCCCGTCTTTTCCTCACACTCACAGCTCGAATACGTAGTGTACAGCCGCCGTGTACATCGTCCACGATCTACATCATGTCCACCCCATCTAGCAGACACTCTGCTCAGGCAGAGACCGACCCCACTGGCCACCTCGCGGTCCCGGGCCAGCATGCGGACCTTGTTCAGCGAGTCAAGAACGTCCCCGGATACACCACGCCCGTGTTCAAAGGCAAGGAGGAGCAGCGCGCCAAGGTTCAGGCAACTGTAGCCCAGAAGGTGTGTTCCGCTTTCCGGAGATTTCCCCCTCCCTAGTGTCCCTCCAGCGTGTCGGATGCCTCTTGCGGCGATGCCATACGGCGGCGATGGTGGCACCTCGAGACTGCCCGTGTCGCACTCACGGTGAATCCCCTCCGTGATTGACGCGTCTCAAAGCCGCGCCGACCTGCAGTGCTTTCATGCGCTGCTTTTCGGACATGCGTTGCCCGTGCTACCGCGTAGATAACACGTAATGTCCCTACTCGTTCGCGCGAGTTGCGCACTTTTATCTGACGCGACAGGCACACTCTGAACGCGTCGGCGGCCTTGCTGTGTCGTACATGTACTGATGCATCATCTGGGCGCGACGTGCAGGGCTTCGTTCCCCGCGAACTGGTAGCGAACGAGGTCAACTGGTTCTACACACACCTAGGCATCGACGACACGTACTTCCAGGCCGAGTCTGTCGAGGTCATCTCGGACCACATCATCGCGCTGTTCGGCGCGAAGGTGCTCGCGTACACCAAGCACGACCCCTCGAAGCTCGTAATCGACCTCGAGAAGATCGATGAGGGCGGCAATGGGGCCACGTTCATCCACACAAGTTCCCCGGGCATGACCACGACCGAAGGTCCGGGCGCGTCCTGCGAAACGCGGATCGACGAGCTGTTCCTTGACAACTCGACGCCGGAAAACGCGTATCGGCTCGAGACATACCGTTCGCAGGGCAGCATCTCTGCGACAGCGTCGCAGCAGCTGCGGTGCTACTTCGTCACGAAGTGCAACTTCCCCCGGAATCCGCTTGCGTCTACGCGTACGGATGGGTGCGTATCTCGCGTCATCTCTCATCGCATGCACGCGTACTGATCCATTCCCTTGCGCACGTTCGATCACAATCACAACAGCAAGACGGACATACGTGCGGTGTCCGACCCGATCTTCCTGGAGAAGGCGAGCGAGAACACGCTCGAGATATATCAGCGCATTATGTGGTCGGTCGAGAAGCGGTACGGGCCCGTGATGGAGGTGTTCGAGGTGGAGGGCTCGCGCGAGCGCCGGGTCGTGATTGGCTATAAGATGGGCGGCACCAAGAAGTTCTTCAGCGCGCTCTCCAACTTGTACCACTTCTACTCGCTCTACTCCGCGCGGAAATATGTTGGTACGTATCTGAGCGTATTGCGTCGACTTCCGTTCCTCGGCTGACACGTGCGCTTCAGAGCAATTCTCCAATGGGGTCACCATCATCTCGCTATATCTCAACCCGCTCCCTGGCGCGAACGCGCCCCCGATCGAGCACTCGATCTTTCAGGTCATGAAGGAGGCCTCGCTCCTCTACTGTCTTCCCGACAACCCCTTCTTCTACGCGGGCAAGGGCCCGAGCGGCGACCACGCCGTGCAAGAGGCAACCTACGCTTGTGAGTATCGCCCTGGTGGCGATTGCGCCGCATACGGCCTTGTCTGACTCTGCGCGGCATTACAGACTGCGGGTGGATCTTTGCGCAACACTTCTGTAATAGGCTGGGGCAGGCGTACCTCGCGCTCCAGAATATCCTCGACGAGACGAACCCGACGCACGCGAGCGTGCTCAACGATATCAAGCGCCGGTTCAGGGAGGAGACGTTCACGCGTGAGAGTATCGCGCAGGTCATTCATGGCCATGCTGAGCTGGTATGTAGATGGCTTACCCGCCACGGCAGCTCACGAGCTGAGAGTATGTCTCTGCTCTGTTTAGATCAACCTGCTCTACGTCAACTTTGCGATGACGCACTACCCTGAGACCGACGAGGCTGCTCAGCTCATGTGCGTGTCCTGGCTATCCAACCGCTCACACCAGATCTGATCTCCCTCAGGCCGACGCTCTCGTACCAGCGCCTGCGCACGCAGATGCCGCTCTCCGACGCGGAGCTGTACGACAAGATCCGGCGCACCGTCACGAACAAGCACGAGCTCCAGGTGCTCGAGAGCTTCCTCATCTTCAACAAGTACGCGTCCGCACATCGCATATGGTGTCCGCCGAGATCGCGGTATTGACGTTGACACGTGCGTGTGGCAGGAACGTGCTGAAGACGAACTTCTACCAGCCGACGAAGGTCGCGCTGTCGTTCCGCCTCGCGCCCGAGTTCTTGCCGGAGGTGGAGTACCCGAAGAAGCCGTTCGGCATGTTCTTCATCATCGGTACGTGCACTGGTGAATTTTCATCGCACGAGGCGGGGCTCAATGACTTGCAGGTGGCGAGTTCCGCGGGTTCCACATTCGGTTCAAGGATGTCGCCCGTGGTGGTATTCGTATCGTCATGTCGAGGAACCGGGAGTACGTTGATGGGCGTGACTGAGATATGTCTAGGCGACTGACGTTTCGTTTCCAGGAACTACTCGATCAACCAGCGTATGCTGTGAGTGAACGAGCGTGTTTTTCGTGTCTCGGCTTGTCACTCACTACGGCCACAGCTTCGACGAGAACTACGCGCTGGCCTCTACGCAGTCCTTGAAGAACAAGGATATTCCCGAAGGTGGTGCGAAAGGGACCATCTTGCCTTCGTACGCACCGTCCTTCCCCTTGATTCATCCTGGTGCTGAATTGATCATCAACAGGCTCGGAGCGAACCCCAAGTTGTGCTTCGAGAAGTACGTGGACGTAAGTAACAATAACGCTGGGCGCCGTCGATTGCTCGACTGAGACGGTCGTGTAGGCCGTCATCGACCTGCTCATTCCTGGCCAAACCCCTGGCATCAAGGAGAAGCTCGTCGATCATTACGGCAAACCTGAGCTGCTCTTCTTCGGTCCTGATGGTACGCGTCCCTTGCATCACCGGCACGCGCACCGTCGAGTCTGACTGGTCTACAGAGGGCACCGCAGACCTCATGGACTGGGCGGCTTGTAAGTGTTCTCCCTGCATTGCGTTCCCATCGTTGGTGCTGACCCGCTGCCGTAGTGCATGCCCGCGCGCGCGGCGCCGAGACGTGGTGGAAGTCGTTCACGACGGGGAAGAGCGCGGAGCTGCTTGGTGGCGTGCCCCACGACGTCTACGGCATGACTTCGCTGTCTGTGCGCCAGTATGTGTTGGGCATCTACAAGCAGCTTGGTCTGCGGGAGAAGGATATCACGAAGGTGCAAACTGGTGGTCCTGGTATGTTTGTTCGGTCTTCTCGTTCATCAAAACCATGCTCATTCACACGTTCGACAGATGGTGACCTTGGTTCGAGTACGTACCATCATCGTCAGAGGCGATCTGTACGCCTCACTGACCCCTCTTGCGCTCTTTAGACGAGATCCTTCTTAGCTCTGACAAGACGATCGCTGTCATCGACGGCAGCGGCGTCCTCCACGACCCAGCTGGTATCAACCGCGAAGAACTCGTCCGGCTCGCGAAGCTCCGCAAGCCAGTCGCGTTCTTCGACACGTCGAAGCTCACCAAGGACGGGTACCTCGTCAAGGTCGAAGACCAGGACGTCAAGCTGCCTTGTGAGTTGCCTTGCACTTCGGTTTGGTTCGACTGCTGACATGGTCACTTCAGCGGGTGAGGTCGTCCTCGACGGCACTGACTTCCGAAATGGCGCGCACTTGCGCTACAAGGCGGACCTGCTTGTTCCTTGCGGTGGCCGGTATGTTCATCTCGCTTGCGACTGCAGTTCGAGTTATCTAAAGATTTGACGTCTTGTTGTTTCAAAGGCCCGAGGCTGTCAACATCTCGAACGTCTCTGCGCTCGTCGACGCTGATGGCAAGCCTCACTTCAAGTACATTGTTGAGGGTGCGAACTTGTTCCTCACGCAACAAGCTCGTCTCTTCCTTGAGAAGCGCAAGGTGGTGCTCTTCAAGGATTCGAGCGCGAACAAGGGCGGCGTCACCAGCTCTTCGCTCGAGGTCCTCGCCGGCCTCGGCCTCTCCTCAGAAGAGTACACGGAGCACATGATCTTCAAGGACGGCAAGCCATCGGAGTTCTACCAGAGCTACGTGCGGGACATCCAGCGGATCATAATAGAGAACGCGGCGAACGAGTTCGGCTGCATCTGGCGCGAGCATGCGCGTCTCCAGGGCGCGAAGCCGCGCACGATCATCTCGGACGAGCTTTCGAGTAAGCTCAACGACCTGCAGGAGGAGCTGGAGAACTCGGACCTGTTTGACGACGAGCCGAGCAAGCGGGGAGTGATGCACCGCGCGATTCCGAAGACGCTGGTGGACAAGGTCGGGCTCGACGCGCTTTTGCAGAGGCTGCCGGTCCCGTACCAACGGGCGTTGTTCTCGAGTTGGGTCGCATCGCACTTCGTAAGTCGATACGGTTCTCATCTGTCATGTCGTTCGCTTACCGTGCCGTACTCCTAGATCTACAAGTACGGTGTCAACGCGTCGTCGGTTGACTTTTTCCACTTCGCGCGCGACCTCGCCTCAACGGCTTGAGGCGTACTCCCAACCTATCGGCCAAACTCCCTCGCATACGTTCTCCAAGCTTAGACCTATGTGTACCACCTCTTTCTGCTCGTCATTACGTGGGCTGTGCAAGCATCGGTAAATTGATATGGACTCGGTCTCGTTGAGCGTCGCATGGCAAAAGAAGGCATATTAACATATAATTTGGGGGAGTAATGACTTGTTTGCAGTGACCCGATGTACATATCGACCAAGTAGAAAGAATGTAAAACAAGGACTCGTTTCTCAGACTCACTCTGGATGATGGGACGTTCGAAGTTCAATCGATGATCCCGGACTCGAGGTGGCGAGTTTGGGCAACGTCGAATTCGAGATTAGGACTCTGATTCTCTATAATACCATGTGTATGACTTCCGGCCTTTCAAGCACTCGCGTACCCGCCAATGAATGGCAGCTTCATCAAATTACTCCCCATTCCCCGACCCAGTTCCAGCAGCTCTACATGTTTCCAGCCTTGTCATAAGTCGCCGCAGATGAACGGTCACGATACGGTCCATCCACACCGGGTTGTCTGAGGTCTGAAGGTTTCCAATCGCGAACGTCTCCTCTACGACCGCAGCGAAGTTGCCAGCAACGGCAGTAAGGGCGGGTTCAGACTGGCAGAGCGTTTCCAGCACCAGACCGGCCGAATGTATCAACCGTACAGCGACGTAGCGACGGCCCTCGATGTTGACGACCGCGCGGCGCAACGACACCTCCAAGTCGGCGATGATTTGTCGCACGCGGACTATCGACGCGTCTCTCTGCTCGTCCGTTCGCGCCCACGACGACACAGGAGCGAACAGACACCGCGCCAACACCCCGATGGCTGCCGCCACTCCGAAGTCCCACTGCGATGGCCGGCCATCCGACCCGCCCACCAGCAGGCGCTTCCGCAGCCACGTCTCCACTGCAACAGCGACTGTAGTTCAAGTTGTATGTCTCAGCCGACCGGCCAGATGATGCGCTAACCAGTCACGTACCATACTGCACCACCTCCCAGGGCACTTGCTCGAGGACTGCTGCATTGAACGAAAATATCTTTTGAAGGATCAAGAGAGTGCGCTGGCACGCATCCGAGTCCGGGCTCGCCTCATAGTGCGCCAGCAGGGCAGTCAACGCTAGAAGCAACCTACGGCGTTGTTGGGGCGTCATATTGCTGCGGTAGAGTCCACCCATGGCGTGAAAGTCTTCCGTAAGGACGAAGGAGATCTCGTCCATGTTGGGCGGAGCGCGGACCAGCACCCCGGCCCAAAAATCCGTAGATCGCGTCCTAACACCTCGTGAGCCGTGGAGTCGTTTGTTGATTACGCTGACCTTCTGAAAACAGCTGACGATGTTGTCCGTGGTTTGGTCTACGAGCATCGCGCCAGCGGTCCCGGAGAGATACTTGACGTCCATAGTGGTAGAGTAGGCACCGGTGAGCATGTCGATGTCGAGCCCGACCGATGACTTATGAACGGCGTCCTGTTCTATCCACGCCAGGTGCGCAGTGGCAAAGGGTCTCGCGCCCGTATCCATAACCAAGTTCGCGCGTTGGAGAGGAACGCCTGGAGGAAGTTGGGCAGAGATGCGAAAGATCGGCTCCCTTGGAGTTGCCGACAGCGCCGATAGAGGGGAGGAAAAAGATGCCGGTGGACCAAGAGATCCCATGCATATCTGATAGTCCGTTGCAGGGAGGATAAGGCATATGTTGGGGGAGAGAGGTAGCAGCAGTCGTGCCAGAAGACAGGAAGGATGGTCGTCACAACCACAAAGAGGATCACTATAGCCACGAGGACGCTCGCGACAATGGCGACAATGTGATGTAAGTTCCAAAGCAGGACGAGAAGGCCCGCAAAGAAGAGTGACAAGGAGAACTGGAGCAAGACCGGAAGGATCGCGACAATCTCGGCGACGTGCCATTTGACCAGGTGGTTCAACCTGTATTGACGGAGGCGCGCGATTTCGAGCGAGGAGCCGGAGATCCCGGCTTGATATTCGTGCAACCATTGCTTGATCAGTATGCCACATGAAGCAGAGGCAAGACTGCATATGAGCGCCGAGAACCAGAGTGTGTTCAGAGCGACGGCCCAGGATTCCGCCTCTGGCGTCGGAGGAATAGATGGTATGATTGCATGCTGGGTCGAATTGACGAAAGGCGGGTTTACTGAGAAACTGTTGAGTTGGAGAGAGATCTGCTGTAAGACAGCCAGGGTAGGATCCGGGGTCGCAGGCGGCTGGAGGAGCAGGTAGGATTGGACGTTGAAGGCAGTGAGAATAGCTGAGAAGAGACCCGCCTGTAGGAGGAACATGTCATCGAAAGCTGCATCTAGTATACTCGCTACATACGTATACGAGAAGAGTGTCTATCTCTTCGTTCCATCTCTTGACCATCTCGTCGCTATACTTCCGAACGATCTCGGCTGTCTTGGACAACGCTTCTTCCTTCTCAGCTTGGGTATACGTCTCCGCAAACTCCTTCTGCAGCTTCTGGGGGGTCATCAGTCTCCATGGCCGTACCATGTGAAGAAAACCATGCACTCACCTTCAAGGTAGGTAGTTCCCACTGTGGGAAGACTCCGCTCTGTGGACTTCCAGTGATTGGTATCTGCAAATCTAGGTCAGATTCATTGCATGGATTGACGATAGTACTCTGCATACATCTTCAACTGCGGCACTTAACTGCCGGGAAGTCATATCTGAGTTCATAGCACACGAGGTCAGTATTAGTCCTGCACTGTACTTTCGCGCTCCACGTATTACCTGTTAGCGACACAAGTTTGACTACGTTGGACGCCATGTTACGGCGTGTACGGTTGTACTGTGAAGATGAGTATTTGAGCGATATGAGACATTAGGTCATATTAGGAAAACACCGACATGATTGCAGGTGTATGTAGGAGTAGCACAACAGGTAGCACTGGAAGCACGTCCCAGTCGTCGCAGTCAAATCGCTCGACCTCACGAATCGGAGACGGTGCTGTGAATGGTGGCAGTGCAGGCTCGCTTAAGTTGGAGATGATGATGCATTGCCTCGATAGGCGTGTTCAATTCTTGTCGCTCGCTCATTTCTTCGCGCGCCTACCGGGCGCCTGCCCACCTGAATTCAAGGTCAGCTCAAGCGCCTGTAGCAAAGCGAGCAGAGGTGCGCAGGCAGCGGGTGCAGCGAGATCGACGGGATCGTCCTATGCTAGGTTTGTTATACCCAGAAAACCTGTCCGGAGAGTGGATGGAGACATCGGGAGAGCGTTATAGACTCGTTGCTCGAGAATAATCGTACACAATGCGCCCAAATCCGAACCAGATTCGGCACGACATACATACGGTTCACCTGGGGTTGCCGCTGTAAGCCTGGTGGCAATTGGACCCAAAACCTTGCGGGAAGACTCCGAGTCTCGAGTCATAGAGCTCTCTAGATTTCAAATCGTCAAGTTTTCGCGGCGCTCCTTAGTCCCAGCTCGCGACCCTCATGTGGTCATGTTGCACCCGCCGCCTGCCCCCCTCTGCTTGCTGTGCTACAGGCGCTTGATCTGACCTTGAATCCAGGTAGGCAGGCGCCCCGGTAAGCGCGCGAGGAAATGAGCGAGCGACAAGAATTGAACACGGCTGATGTTCCAAAACTCCAATGTCCATGAAAGCATCAGAATGTGACCTCCATGTATGTCATCCTAGCACTGTGCATACTTACTGGGCTCGAGAAGACGGAGACGCGAAGGCCTCTGAAACGTTGCTGGCCCCAGATGCCAGCTGTTCAGAGGCGTTTCAACTTATACAACTCACGGCGAACACCATTCTCGCTGTTGCCGGACATCGAAAACAAATGAATGACAAAGGGGACGAGTCAGGAAGACATTGAAGAGCGGAGTGCAATCTCCAGACGGTAGTAGCACCTCAGCTGAAGCGACTCATGCTCATGGCTGCTCAGTCGCTGAACAATACAAGTTTGTGATACGGAAGACCGCGACACAATCTAGTCAATATCACAGAGATGCCATCCATTGGGAGCCTTGCAGAGATGCTCAATGGTTGAAAGTGGTAGGGGCCGAGTTGATGAAGGCGATCTGCGTCTCGCGGTACGTGTCCGAGATCATGGTCACGTTGTCTCCCTGGAGCTGTAGCACGGCAGGCCTCGATGAAGCGTACTGACCCCATCTGGGACCTACAACAATATTGGCATGTGAGCTTTCCCGTTCAGGACTTCAACGCGGTGAGCCCGACGCACGTGCAGTCCCTTTCCCATCGTTCGGGTCTCCAGTCACGACGAACGAAATCCAATAGTCGAGCATGGCCTCGCTGAGGGCCGCAGCAGGCTGAGGCTCCCCAGCGAGGAACGGCACCCCATAGGTGTAGTCGATCTCGTTACCATGCGCGACTGTAGGAGTACATTGTCAACACTAATCCATACACGCTGAAGCTAGCGTTAGCACACACCTCCTTGACTCGGGTTCGTGACCGCCTGCGGGTCGCTGAAGAGATACGCGAAGACCCTACTCCTGTGATCACTGGCGTTCTGCGCTAGCGCACGTCGAGTCGACGTAAACGCAACGTCGTCCGCAATCGCCGCGACGCGCTTGTACTCGCTGCCCAGTCCGAACGTCTCGTTACCGGTCCCAAATGGAGACCCGAGGGCCGGGTCGTTGGGGTACAGCTCAAGGAGTGTATCGATCGCACTAGTCAAAGCAGGAGGCGGTGGTCCCGCATCCGACGGGTCGGCGTAGCTGATGAAGAAGTTGATTGCATCTTGATCGGTACTTGCGGCGGCGGGCACAAAGATCGTGGCTTGGGAACAGGGACATCATATAGTGGATATCAGGGCGATAGGTGAAGAGCGAGAGGGACTAACCATCGTCGAGGTTGGTTCCAGCAATCAATGGGAGACGAGTGAACTTCCCTGCTGCGAGGAGCCGCGAAGGCAGATCTGGTATGAGGCCATCGTTGCCGTCCAACACGGGTGAGAATGGGAACAGTTCGGCATTCCCTGCTGAAAACGTGGCGAGGGCCTGGATGAGCGTGTCCGCGCTCGCCTCTCGAAGACAGTCGAACGTCTGATTTGGCTTTGCGGTCGCGCATTCGGGTGTGGCGCTAACGAACGTCTGCCAGTCCTTATCGCGGCGTGTACTAGGAACAAGTGGTAGTAGGTTTGGAGGTCCAGATTGAAGTATCTGGAGATGAGAGACCTGAGCGACGATTGCTTCTTGAGCGAGGAAGGCTGACGTACCGCACCACGGACGTATCGCGAGAGCTCGGAGTTCCAGAACAGGTTAGAAATCGAGATTGCTCCTGCACTACCTCCAGCTACTGTGATCTTTATTGCCCATAGTTAGTGAACGTCGTGGGGAGCAGATAGTGCTTGGGTCCGACCTTGGAAGGATCTCCGCCGAAGGCTTGAATGTTACGATGGATCCATTCTAGCGCGGTGAGTTGGTCCTTGAGTCCGAGGTTGAGCGCGCCTCGTGCTGTGGCTTCCACACCTTGCGGGAATCCAAACGGGCCGAGACGATAGTTGATGCTGACATAAACGATTGGGGTTCCCTAGGGCTTCGCATCAATCATCACGAGGATATTGAAATGTAGTATACGCAGACTTCGTACTCTCTGGACACTCCGAAGAACGATTGCGCTTGCGTTGTAGAGAGACGGGTCTCCGTCTGACCATCCCGTGTTCAGCAACTGGCCGAGAAATATAGAACGGGCACTTACTGATGAATCCTCCTCCAAATATCCACGCGTATACGGGCAGTCCGCTGAGTGCATGAGTGCCGGCGGGCCTCAGGATATTGACGGTGAGACAGTCCTCACTTGCGTTGAGTGGGAGCTACCGGACGACGTCAATGACCGCAATGCACTGCACAGAACCAGGGCAGCTCACCCCGATCTGGGGACATGGAATCCCGTAATTGCTAGCGTCGAAGCTATCGACGTCCAAGGTGGGTTTGAACACAGGTGGTGCGAAACGACGGAGTCCGGACGGCGGCGCGGCATAATGTATACCTAGCGGATCATAAGCATCGAAGACACGAAATGAGAGGGGAGAGACGGTACCTCCGAAAAATTCCTGCACTGGTTGCCCTTCGACGAAGTTATCTCGCCCAATGACCGAACTCGACCCTAATTGTACTACGGGAGCGGCAAAGCATAGAGCGAGGTACTCTAGCAATACCAGTGACCCGGCGAGAGTCTGAGCGACCATGGTGGTGCGTCTGATACCCAGAGACCCCAACCATCCCGTATATATGTCACCGACATTCGCTCGCCAAGACATGCGAGTGACAAGGCGTGTGATCTACGATGTCGAGCAATTATAGGCAAGCACGGAGGGATAGGAATCTAAGCTGGGAACACAGGCACGAGGCATGTCTGAGGCATTCAACGGAGCCGATGTGCTGCGGGTGCAGTAGGACATAGTGGTTCAGAGCGTAGACTTTCGTTAAGGCCGGTCTTGCGAGGATGTCGGATCAGGTGTCAGAACCAGTCGCGCGAGATATAGATAGTTGGGGAGCTACGGATACGCCACCACGTACACAGTGACAGGGAGATTGAAAGCTAAAGTCAATAGGTGGAAGGTCAGCCATATGCCTGTAACGACGATACAAGTCACCAGCTCGCTCAGATTCCAAGCTAGGCCGTGCTGGATATAGACCTGGCACTGCGCTGCTTATGCATCTACAAGGATCTGAGGGCCCTCGTATAGCAGCTAATGTGATGTTAAGGTAGACTGTTGGAAGATAGTCGAGGGCTGGGGATTTGTCAGACGTCTTGCAGCATTCAAAGCCCTGGCATAGCGGAAAAGCAGAACTCGAGATGTAGCAAAGTGTATTTAACGCCGAGAGAGGAGAGCTGCAAGGTGGATACATATCGTTCAGACGGGGCTATTGGAGAGTGCAGAAGGAGAGAGGCGGGCGCTCAGTTAGGATGGCCGAGTACGGCAATCGCCGGGCGCCGGTAGCTCCCCAGAGATTGAGAAGAGTGCTAGAGTTTCCCCAACTGAGCGCACGGCGAAGGGAGCCTTTTCAGCGTCGTACTACATGTCTTCTTCACTGTCGCCGGTGACATGCAGACCGTGTGGTTTCCTGTCCCAGTCGCTGCTCTCTTTCGTCGGATCGTGAACGTCGTCTCCGCCTTCTCCATCTCGCATCAATACCTCCACCAGCCCCCCTCCGACTCTGACGTACCACAACCCGGATCTTACTCGCTGCGATGGCCCGCCTGGCCAGCTTACTCTCGAAAGCTGATTTCCGATGAAGGTCACCAACGTTATCGCGTCGGTTCTCTGAACATGTATGCGGGCAGTGCAGAAGGCACAGAAGTCAAGGATGCACCTCGCACTTCACCGCCGACAGACTCCTACGATTCTTGGACTCCCGCTCAGATTCATCGACTCATGCATAACCCCGCTCTATATGATCCTGTACGCAAACCCCGATACCCTATCGTGCTCTGTCATGGTGAGTCCGCGGTGACGGGGACAGTTCAGGTATTGACGCCAGCGCGAGCTAGGACTCTACGGATTCGACGTCCGCGGGCCTTCATCGGTCCCCTTCCTGCGGCAACATTACTGGTCTAATGTCCTGAACGTTCTCCGCGGGAAGCTTGGGGCGGAGGTCTTGGTAACAGGCGTACCTAGGTAAGTCGTGCGTGCACACCGTGTCCTACAGCCTCTCACTATAGTTCAGCACTGGGTCCGTGTCCTCTCGTGCCGAGAACTTGGACCGCTTCCTACGAGACAAGGCACCCGCACGAGGTGTTAACTTTCTTGCACACTCCATGGGCGGCCTTGACTGCAGGCATCTCATATCCCACATCAAACCCTCTGACTACGCGCCACTGTCGCTCACGACTATCGCGACGCCACATAGAGGAAGCCCGTTCATGGACTGGTGCAAGGTATGGCTGTCCCTGTCCTCCTTTCCGGCATCTCTGAACATTACATCCAGCAATACCTGGGGCTGGGCAGATATCAGGACGAGTCCTTCCGCCTGGGGGCCACAGAAATGCAGTCCGACTCCCCAGAAGCGCGGCGCTCAGCCGCCGAACGGGAAACAGAGAAGGAGAAAGCCGCCGCGTCCGTCAAATCCCTCCTCTCGCTCACCTCCCTCCCTTCCTCCTTCACGACCCTCCTCCTCTCCGTCCTCGACTCCCCCGCGTACGCGAACCTCACCACCGCGTACCTGAACACGGTCTTCAACCCGAACACCCCAGACGACCCGTCCGTGAAGTACTTAAGCGTCGCGGGACGCACCGCGGGCGTCGGCATCTGGCACCCGCTCTGGCTGCCCAAGATGGTGCTCGACGGGTTTGAGGAGCGCGAGCGCGCCCGCATGCGCGAGACGAGCGACCCGCGCGCGGAGGACGACACGCTGTGGGGCAACGACGGGCTCGTGACCGTGCAGAGCGCGCAGTGGGGTGAGTTCTTGGGCACCTTAGAGGGCTGCGACCACTGGGAGATCAGGGGCGCGCGGGGGCTCGACGTGGACTTGCCGTCGATACCTGGGCCGGAGGAGTGGAAGCTGGGCGATTGGGCGAAGTTCGTGCGGGCTTGGAAGAGGGAGGAGAAGAAGGCGGCGCGGGAGGCCGGCGCGGGGATCAGTGAGCAGGGGCACGAGGCTGCTCTTGCGGCGGCTAGGGCTGCAGTGGGCGGTGAAGAGAGCGAGCGTAGGGAGCGGGGAGACGCGGGACATAAGGCAAGGAGGGATAGCATGAACGCGGATGAAGTCGTCAAGAGCTCGACGGACAAGGTCTCGGCGGTGTTCGACTGGATCATCGAGTCGACGCCTGCTAAAGCTGCTCTCAGTCCTCTCGCGTCGATCTCGTCGGGGTCCAAGACCGAAGAACAGGATAGGGACGGTCAGGCGGGGAAGGGAGAGAAGGAGAGGCGAGCGAAGGGCAAGAGCACGAAGCCGGCTGAGCGACATGATCTTGCGACGAAGATGGACCTCGAGCGATTCTATGTGGCGCTGTGTAAGAAGCTCTACGACGAGGGCCTGTAAATGCCATGCAGACTCTGTATATGCTCGTGCTAGCTGCGGTGTATCATTATTGTGTACTGTAGGTGCCCCTGATATGGCAGACATGAACTTGACTTGATCAGCACCTGGTCATTTTCTAGCCTGTCACGGATGCAGGAAAATTTTCCCAATGATGAGGGAAAAGGCCCTATAGTTTTGTGCGTGCATGCTTCTCGGGTATCGAACGCACGGGGAGGCCTATAACCGGACAACACGCTGCCTCGCCAGGGCGACTGCCACGCTCCCTACACCCGCCGCCAAGGCGCACGAGCCCACGAAGATCTCAACAGCTCCGTACCCAAACCGACCGAACCGCGCGCTGGTTGACGACGATCGCCCTGCCTCGAGGAGCAGCCCGGAGACGATAGGACCGATGACCGCAGAAATGCCTTTGGCGAACGTGATCCCTGAGAACGCTATGCTCGCGAATTCGTGCCCCGCGCATTCAACCGCGGCATTCGTCCACGTCGACGAGAAGCCACCCGCCTGCGCAACTCTGATCAGTGTACGGTGCGCTACAGACACGAGGGAGGGGCGCACCAAGCCACCGAAGACGATGGAAAAGAAGTAGAGATAGATCGCGGCGTTGGCGAAGCCCCATAGTAGGAATGCTCCGAGCGCACTACCGACGGCGCTGAAGACCATGATCGAGGGGTAGGGGATGCGATCGGTCAGGTGGCCGATGAAGATCTGGCCTATGACCGTGGCGGACAGGTTCAAGAGGGAGAGGACGATGGTGGCTGTTGGCTGATTGGAGAGGCTCCTTGTAAAGGTGGGGATGTAGAGCGAGACCGGGAACTGGGAGAGACCTTGTATGAGGGTCGTGAACACCTTCAATGAAGTGTTGCTGTCAACCTCGACGCCAATGAAGAAATACGGGGCGAAGTGGTCACTTACGAAGGTCCAAAAGAGGGGATTATGGAGGAACTCAAGACGAGAAGGTATGAGCTTGGGCCTCCGCTGACCGGCTTTGAACTTAGGCACGGGGAAACGGCTGCGCATGCCCAGGAGCGCAATTGCTGAGCAGATCGCCGTGCCGGTTGCCCAAATCCTCAACGTCCAACGCACCCCGACCTCGCTGAGCAGAGCGTTGAGGAGGAAAGGGAAGGCAAAGCCCCCGACGCCGGTGCCGGAGAAGATGATACCACCAGCCAGTCCACGGCGCTCCGAGAACCACTCGGGGAGCAGTTTGATGACGGGGCTGTAAAGGATGCCGCCGCCGATGCCCACGCCCACGCCTTGTAAGAGGATGAGCTGCCACACCTGTAGCATAAATCCATTCACTAGATGTTAGATGCTGAGTAGGTTGTGGTGCAGACCTGTGTTGCGAAACTGGACGCAAAGAGTGAGACGAAGTATAGCGCAAGGCCAAACCACATGGACGTCCGTATAAAGTCTGGGTATCTTCTCAGGAAGAAAATCAAAAATATCCCCTATCAACAAGAGATCTCAGTGCATCACTTCTCTTTGTGTGAACGGGTTGAACTGACCTCTCCGTACTGGATGCCAAGGCAGGTAGTCCCAACAGCGGCTATGGCAACCCCAGATGCCGAGTCAAAAGGCGGGTGCGAGGTGTAGTAGTCTGGACCAACGGTAAGCATCTACGGTCAGCACAGACAGTCAGAATGAAGACTTACCCACCTTGGAAGATGCCATAACTAAGAGGCGGTTCGTCAGCGCACGCCACAATCCCTGGTAGAATCGGAGACGGACCTGAAACCAAATCCCCATACCATCGTCTCCAGAATGAAAGCAGAGGCACAAAATGACCATGCCTTCAGCCCGCGGTCGACGGGCGGGAGCTCTTGGACGTTTGCTCCCTCCTGCGTGTTGATCGATTGTAACGAAGTCGCTGTCTCCGACAGTTGGACGTGTGGTGAACCGGGCGCCGCGGGACTCTCAGAAAAGCTATTCCTGGATGTTGGCAAAGCGTTCATTTCGTATGACGTCTCCATTGCGAACTTAATGTTGCCATTGGTTGACCGTCCAACTCCTGCCATCTTCACGTTTCGGATCTCAGGGAATGGCTAGGTAGTCGAAGCAGTGGCGAAAGGCACGAGCCTGAATCAGAGCGCATTTTGGGTCGACCTATACTTACTGACTCGAGATTCGGCGATGAGTCAGCTTGTTGTCGTACGCCATCACAAAGACATGGCTTAGCACGATCTGAATTACAGTGATTTGCAAAAAACACTGCAGGTCGCGCGCGTGGGCAAGGCTATTTGTTCCTATTTGGCATCCCCGGGAAGCGCTTGCCCGGGACGGAACGGCTCAACATCCTCTGTACTTATTTGCATTTGAATCTGATAGAGTACGAGGAGGGATGTAGGAAAATTCCTTCCCTTTGATTCCGAAGCAGCCATGGAATTGCCAACTCAAGCATTGTTATAATAGATACAATGGTCCTGAGCGCCCAGTGCCCGAAACAGAAGTTCGCGCTGTAAACGCCCGGGAACAAACATGGGCAAATAGCTCGCCGCGCGGATGCGACCTGCAGTGTTCTTTGCAAATCACTGTATACCGACCATACGCGCGCATGAGCGTCTTCGTAGTGATCGCGTCCGATAATATGTACTTATAGTTATCTACCTCATCTTTACATCAATGTCTGATGACATAATATTACACAGGAGGCATTGACACAAGCCCAAGGAAGTGATACACGTCTATGAGAAAGATAAGCAAAACCCTACAAGTACGACAGATACTACCCTAGCTTGAATCTAAAGCATCGCTACCCTTTTGTGCAATCCAGACAGATACGACTCGGAGATCAGAAAACAGGGGCTAGAATCTCTACGCGCTGCTTCCTCGCAAGTGCAATGACAATGCTCCCGACACCACATGCGAAAGCGCAGGAACCGACGAAAATTTCAACGGCACCATATCCAAAACGTCCAAACCCATGGCCCATCGTTGATCCTTTGCCAGCTTGCAGGAGGAAGCCGGAGATAACGGGTCCAATGACGGCGGAGATACCCTTCACGAAGGATACCCCGCAGAAGGCCAGCCCAATGAACTCGGGTTTGCTCCCGGCACACTCTGCGGCTGAGTTCGTCCAGGTCGACGAGAAACCTCCGCTCTGTGTGCATAACATTGATATTGGCCAAACAAGAAAGTATCGAAGGAGATACATACCAGACTCCCGAATATAAATGCGAAGAAGTAAAGGTAAACGACCTTGTCGGCAAAGCCCCATAGCAAGAAGGCGCCAAGACCGCTGCCAACAGCGCTGAATAGCATTATCATCGGGTAGGGGAACCTATCGCTGAGGTGGCCGATAGTGATCTGACCAACTACAGCTGAAACGTTGAACAAGGAGAGGATGGAGGTCGCCGTCAACTGGTTCGAAAGACCCTTGGTGAAGGTGGCGATATACAACGAAACAGGAAAGTAGGAAAGACCTTGGAGCATATTAGTGATAGCCTGTTTGGAAGGAACTCAGTACCTCCACGTTCCAAAGGAGTATACAAAAGCCCTCACGACGCTCCAGAAGAGGGTACTTCGCAGGAAGTCGACCCTACCGGGGAGCAGCTTTGGTCGGCGATGCACGGCACTATACTTGGGAACAGGAAGTCGACTCCGCATGCCGAGCATAGCGATTCCGCATAAAACGGTGGTTCCGATAGCCCAGAGTCGCAGAGTCCAGCGCAGGCCAATATTCGTAAGTAGCGCATTGAGTAACAAGGGGAACACGAAACCTTCACGCGGATTGAGCGAAGCCCGCGTGAGACACGAACACGGAACGCACCACCCAGAGCAGTTCCTGAGAAGATCAGACCGCTCGCAAGGCCTCGTCGTTCCGAGAACCATTCGGGGAGGAGTTTGATGATGGGAAGGTAAACTATTCCGCCGCCAATCCCGACGCCAGCTCCTTGCAGGAGGATTAACTGCCATACCTGCACAACGTGATCAGTAAGCCCGAACAAGTGCGGATAAGTTGTTCCAACCTGGGTGGCGAAGCTGGATGCGAAGAGAGACACAAAGTAGATCCCTAAACCAACCCACATGGAGACCCTGAGAAAGTCCGGATATCTGCCCACGAAGAAGAAAAGGAAGAAATTCTGCATAGATGCGTGCGGAATCAGATAAGTGGCCAGTATCGGCCAGGATATCATGCATTGCTCACCTCTCCATAGAGGAAGGCGAGGGAGACGGTGCCGACAGCAGCGATGGATACGGTCGACGCTGAGCTAAAGGGCGGGTGTGATGTGTAATACTCTATAACGCATAGTGTGAATAAATAGCTAGTTGTTGTGGGAGACCCATACCTTGGAATATGCCATAGCTGCGAAGTCTCAGCGTCAGAACCCGACAACATGGAGGGTAAGAGACTCCTTCATACCTGAAGCTGAAACCCCAAATCATCATCTCCGTTATGAACGCTGAGGCGCAGAACATCCACGCCCCGAAACCACGGTCTACCGGAGGTAGCTCCTGCACGTTCGCCCCCTCCTGCGGATCAGCCGCCCGGAGCGCCGCAATCGAAGACTGGGCGGAAAGGGAGGTGGCGGGGGTTCCCGGATGGCTGTCTCCAAGCTCTGGCATCACAGACATCTCATACGATGATGAAGGTATGGGTTTTCCGGCGACTTCAACGTCCATGATGCACCGAAGGCTGGTTCCACGGGGAGGAATGGGAGCAGCGAACATCATTGCTCACCAGGATTTAACATCCTCAGGCCAGACCCAGACCTGCCGGGCGCCTTTGGTCAGTCGACTCATGCGCGTAATGGCGGAGTGTTGGGACGACCATCAGGTCATCCCGCTCGATGATTGCCATCGATTAGCATCCGCAATACGTCTTCAACACATAATGCGCTGATACTCACCGGGATCTGCTACGATCGCTCCGGGCGGCAGGATTATTGAATGGAAACCGCGTCAGGCCTCAGGTCTGGAGTGGGCGTGGCGACTCGGAGGTCACAAGCTCAATACGAGATGATGTAACAAAGAAGGTAATTGCGACGTCGAGAAAGAGAAACGACGCGGAGGGATGTTCAGGACGTGGTCCGCTGCCTGGCCAGAACAACGGCAACACTCCCCACGCCTGGCGCTAGAGCGCATGACCCGACGAAGATTTCCACTGCTCCGTACCCGAACCGACCAAAACCGCCGTTCGAGCCTTTGCCAGCTTCCAACAGAAGACCAAAGACGGCGGGTCCAACCACCGCGGGGATGCCTTAAACAGCGTGACCCGGAGAAGATGAGGCCCGTAGACTCGGACTTGCTTCCTGCACATTCCACCGCTGCATTGGCCCACGTTAATGAAAAGCCTGCCCTCTGATGCCCAAAGGGATTACGATTACGGGAGATCCACCGCAAGGAAGGCTCCTGAACACGAGGGCAAAGAAATAGAGCCAGATCGCGGCATTAGCGAATCCCCAGAGAAGGAAGGCCCCGAGAGCACTACCCAGAGCGCTGAAGACCATCACGATTGGATATGGGAACCTGTCGGAGAGATGGCCCAATGCGATTTGACCAATAGAGGAGACGGCATTAAACAAGGGCGGGACGATTGTTGCCGTCAGCTGATTCGAGACGTTCTTCGTGAAGCTTGCGATGTACATAGAGACGAGGTAATACGACACTCCCTGGTTCAGATTCGTGATGACCTTTGCAGTGGTGTTGAAAGGGCGTCTTCCGAGGGAAATGGTGAAAAGTACACCCACGATGCTTCAGAAAAGAGTGACGACGAAAGTCGAGTCTGGATGGAATCAGCCTGAGGTGTCTGTGAATTGCATTGTATCTGGGCACAGGCAACCGGGGTCACATGCCAAACAATGCTAACGCCGAGACAATAGTGGTTGCGATGGCCCAAATTTGGATTGTCCAGCCATTGCCAAGCTTGTCGAGCATAGTACTGAGAAGGAGAGGGAAGGCAAAATCTGGAAGGAAAGCAGTTAGTAGCACATTGAAAAACACAGTTTTGGGACTGCCAACTAACCTCCGATGCCTGATCCGGAAAAGATGATCCCGCCGGCAAGTCCACGGCGCTCAGAGAACCACTTAGGAAGCGGCTTCACCACAGGCATATATGGTATACCGCCAGCGACACCGATACCAACGCCTTTCAACAGGATCAGCTACCATACCTAGGATACTAGTATGAACACGGTCCGGTAGGAGATAAGAGTCATGGATTGACCTTCGTAGCCCAATCAGATAGGAATAGAGAGCCGATATAGAGGGTCAGCCCGAACCACGTCGCCAGTTCGAGGTAGTCGGGATATCGCCCGATGGAATACGAAACAGAAAGAAGGCCTGTCGGTGAATCAGTTTGAAGAATCAGTCAATTTGCAAGTGGTTGAGCGCAGTCATATCGACTTACTGCCGAGTACTGTTTGGCGATAGAGACCGTGCCGACCGCAGCGATAGAGATGCTGGAAGCGGAGTCGAGTGGCACATGTGTCGTATGAGAGTTTTACCCAAGAGAAGTCCGGCACTCCATCAAAGTGCCGTTACATTGTGCATACACTGGAAGATGTCATAACTAGCCAGCAGACTGATCAACACATTGAGTCTTCGATGTATATGGGAGGAAACTGACGAACCTGAAACTGAACCCTGGAATTATGGTTTCCAGGACGAACGCTGCGACACAGAAAAACCATGCATGACATACGCAATCAACTGGCTGCGGCTGCTGCACAATAGTTATAGTACCTTCCTGAGGATCTTGACGTCCTAGAGTCGTCCAGGCGGACTCAGCAGGTGCATCTGGCGATATCGAGGCCATGACGATATTGACGAGGGAGTTCGAACTCATGTCGTGGGCAGGCTCAGTTTCAGTGCTACCTTGACGAGCAGAGGTGTTCGTTTCGTCGTCAGATTTTTTACAAGTTCGCAAGATACGCATCATCATCGAAATCAAGTTGGTCGTGGACTTCAACCGCAGCCGCAAGCATGGGCGTCTAATGACATGGATTCAACCGGCGACCTCGATGCGGCCGGGTCCCCCCGGAGCGCTATCCAATATGGAGTCTGGACGTCCAAATAACTTCCACTTCTTGACTCAGTCCCTAGATCAGGTCTTAGATCATCCCCTTGATTAACATTAGGTATCTCTAAACCACGATGAAGAATGGGGAAGCGGGTCGAGAGGTAGACATCAGGTCAGACAATATTTATTGCTACTACATCCATCCACAGTCCCAATGGTCTAATCGTTACATGGCTAGCACAGTAATCCTCTCGACTACGCAACGGGTGCAGCAGCGCGTCTACTGCAGTTGCTGAACAGAGGTACCGCACAATGGACGCTATCACAGGTTTTCTTACAGCCACAATGGCTTAGGCTGTGCGATGGGACTCCGCCTTGCCATCGGTTATGCCGCCTGCTCTCTTGTTCCCGCAGACGCTCACGCTTTTGTTCTTGCCACTGGACGCCGCATCGTCAAGTTGCAGCGTTCCTCTTCTCGCCACGTGAGTCCTATTCATGGACGCTTTGGACTCCAAGTAGTCCTGTATAAAAGGAGCGCATAGCTTGCGGCTGACATTGTGCTACAGACCACTTCACACACTTTGAAACCTCGCCACTCAGACAGCTCCCAACCACCTTGAACGATTCGATTATCAGTCCCTATTCCACACATGGACCACGGCATTTCTACCACTAGTCTTGCTTCTCCTCGGCCCCAGTACCCGCATCAGCTCGGGGAAAGCTCAAAAGCGCAAGCCGCACAACAACGGCGTACCGAGCTACATACGCCATTCCGGGCCGCCTCAATGGCGACGCCTTTCTCAGACATCACATCGGACAGTAGCGAAGCATCTCTCGCAAGCGAGCCGGACGATGGTCGATACAGCCGTAACCACGAGCGCAAGCTCCTCCCAATGCTCGACCTCGACCTCGAAAAAGCCGGGACCCCACAAACAAATAGCTCCGCCGCGTGGCTACAATGGCGGGCGGAACAAGGACGCGCAGCCCACATCGCGCGTGGGGAAGCAGCGACATCTCGCGCCAATCCGTACGCGGGTCCGGCGCTCGTTGGCCGCGCGCAAGCCCCGTGGGCAGACGCCGGCGTTCGCATGAACCATGGATGGGAGCGCATGTTCCGTGCGGCGTCCGTGACGAACGACGCACAGGTGCGGAAGAAATTCGCGGATGATATCGTGAATACAGGAAAATGGGAAGAAGGGACGAGCGAGGTTCTAGCGCTCGCGGGCATGCTCGTCGAGCGCGCTGCGGAAGGCGACGCGCAGGGCTTCGTATCTGTGGCTCCTTTCGCACGGAACCTGCACGAGTCGTTCAAGCGCAAGAACGGAGCTGTTGCAGCTGAGTTCCACGGTCAGCTGAGACGGTGCATCTGGGAGGAGTTCGAAGCCTGGTGGCAGCCGGTAAGTCTGGTCTTTCGGAACAAGGTGCTGTTACTGACGCGAGTGCACAGGGAAAGCCCACGGCATTGTCCTCATTTAAATACAAAGGAAAGCCACAAGCTCTGACTGCAAGCCTCGCAGTCGCGACTCTCATCGGTGACCTCTTCACCGTCAACCTGGTTCCCCCCGAAACGGTAATCCTCTGTCTGCAAGTCCTCATAGGCAACATGTTTGCGGTGGAGCAGGCTCGTGCTGTGCGCGCTATGCTTTCCCGTGTCGACGCTCGCCTGAAAGATGCAGATCCGGCAGCGGTTGATACAGTCCTTGCGGCTTTCTGTGTCAATGTCGACCACGTCAAGACGAGCTTCATTGGGGAGTTCAAGGACACAGATGTCAAAGCTCAATACGACGTACGTTCTGTGTCCCCGGGCCTTGAACTCTTGCTGAAGCCAGACTCCAACAGGACGTGGAGACCATCTACAAGCGATGGGACAGAGTCAGGGAGATGTACACGCAAGGACACTCCGTTGCGTACCCATCGGTCTCCGAGACCGACGATACTCCCGTACAACCTTCGTTCCCCACCCTCACCCCTACGGCCATCTGGCAGCCCGCGCCACGGAACACGCCGGTGATCAGTTATAGAGTACCGGCGCAGAATCCGCCCGCATGAGCGCCATTGCTATCGTACGACCCTGCTAGTCTGCACATCCCTTCCTTGTCTCCGTGTAGCATTGCATAGCACACTCGTTGCTCTGAACTGTGTAGTTTGTATCATTGCGCAATCGAATCCTAGACTACTTCGCGTAGATCCATTGAACTCGTATGCTTCTCCTGGGAACCCGTTCATCAGCTCGCTTTTGCCGGTATGTGTGCCCTGGCCCACTGCGCAGTGTCTTCTGTTGCGTTCCACAGGGGATTTAGGCGCGGAAGCTTCCACGTTTCGTCATTTCCATGGTCCGCAGGGAGGATCGCTAGAATCGCCAGAGACAGGTAAGTATGGTAAGGATCTATTGATGGTAACGTGAGCGCGCTTCGGGCGGAAGGAGCGACATCCATCACTCACCTGGACGTTCCCCGGGAGCCTTAGCAATCCCGCCGAACTTGAACTGGCAGTTGGCGAGGAACTCTGTCAACGTGCGCTCGTTGACGAGGTCGCCTTCTCCCAGGATCTGATCAGAATTACAGAGATACAGACTGCACATCGTTATTCTTAGATATATAAGCTTACCGCTAGAGCGGCCCCGCACCAGAAACAGTAGCAGGCATCAGCAAGCTTGTTCGTCCGACCGGAGAAGCCACCGGACTCTGTTTGATTCTGCACTAGCCATCGGATCGTGCGCGCGCGATTCACACCTGCCAGCCGCGTCGCGCGAGAAGACGTCGGGGTATCTGGGGCAAGGCCTAGGGAGGCGACCGCGCAGTAGGTAGTTCCTCCTGGGACTGACCGTCAGCTATAATATGTGTATCAATTGATAATCGCCGACCAAGGGCTTCGCCGAATGGACTTTGCCCGTATCCGCCTTCATAGCTCTGTTGAGTTGATCAGTCCCAAGCCGAGAGCGTGGCCGTCTGAGACGGCATCTTACATAGCATTTGTCGATATAGGCTAAGGCATGATCCAGGTCGATACCAGACCAGTCGTCAAGTAAGCTGCTGATTACGAACGCGCAGTATGTCATCCTCAGGTCGGACTCTCCACCTGTGGGTAAAGCGGTAAAACTAGCGGATGCGACATTGTTACTGTATGTCCGAACTGCACCGTTGCGAAAAGCCTACCTTCCGTCCGGCTGCTGACAAGACCGCAAAAGGTGTAAGATCCCGCGCCGATCGAGGTTTGAGAAGTCGTCACGGAGTATAGAAAGACAGAGCAAGGCGGTATACGTCATGACGAGATGGCCTGTATTGTACTCCGAGGGCTCGCCCTGCGGGTCACAATCAGCAAATTTGACCAGAAGCAGAAACATGGAGCTGTACATGGTGGTCTTCAGGCGTCATATATGTGCTGGGCCTAAATCCCGTCCCGTACGGACTAGCTGATCACGAATTGTCACTTGGCTCAGGGACGGCGACAGCTAGAGAAAGCGAATGGCGAACGAACAAATTTGTTGTTCCCAAAACCATTCTTTCCATGATTCTCGATCCTGTTCGCCTGATTGCAATTGCAGTGTGCTCAGGATATCCATTGTTCCTAAGCAATAGAAAATCACAGCTATCCTGTTACGGCAACGGTCAGTATGGTGTCGGTTAGACGGACCATGTGGGTCGATTGCAGCACCATCGCAGCAAGGAAAACAATTTCCTAAGGCGCATAGAACATTGTGTGTTGCTTGTAGGCTAGACTTGACATATGGGAGAAGCAAAGAGCAGCATACCTCGAAGGGTCCACCTCAACTTGGCTCGAAGGGAGACCTATCAGGCATCGACTACTATGGGACGCGTGGCCGCCTCGTGCAAGAGTTCGAGGGTCGCCCATACCCACTTCCAGTGGGGTTTCACGCCTATGCAGTCTAATTGTCAGATATTCCGCATGCAATGTCGACGCACGATAGGATGAGTCTGGAGGATGCTAGAGGCGATGCCAGTGACTTTCGGGCTGCAATATCAGGATCGTCCGCCAATTCGAGCTGAGCCTTTCGGATGGCGAATGGTTCAAGCGCCCATACCGTATATCTTTTGCAACGTGGCAACCTCTAGCCACTTCTTCGCGGCAATAGCCTCAAGGGTCAACACATTTCAAGCGGCACAAAGTCCTCTTCTTGTCAGTTAGCTTCATTGCCTGAGAGAGAAAATTTTTTCAACATGGGTGATGGACTACTATGTACGTTCTATTCACATCTTCTCCATCTTCTCCATCGCGTCCATACTAGACTCGGATGTCCGGTAGCTGTGTGCCGGGGACATCATGCTGAGACCGTCCGAGGCGCACTCAAGTCTCAATCTCGATGAACCTTGACTTACGTGGTTTGCCAGGCATGGCTCCGCCGTCGGCGTTACCGAGACCTCATCACGACATATGGGTTCTGATAATCGACTTCCCATGCGCAGGCTTGAACAACCTTGCGACGCGGCGCTCGTGTCCTCTGGTCTGCAAGGCCTGGCTTCCCACGGCCCGCTCTCAG